TACATTTTTTTATTTGATTGTATATAATTATATAGAGCACTATATGATTCCTTTTTTGGTCAGCAATGTTATAAAATTGGTTGGGAGGGAGATTTTGCCTTACTATCTCCCTCCATAGTTCTTGCCTACTCTTTTCTCATTTTTTGCACTCCATAATGGCGTGCTTGGCATCCGCCCTAGTCGCTCCACCTAAGCAATAGTAATAGCAACACTGAGTTGTAATAATAAATATATCAACTTATAATAAAAAAAAATCAACCATTGACATTGGGATGTTTTGTAAAAAGCCACGTAGAAGAAAGAGTATCATCACAATAATCCTAAGTTTATATCAAACAAAACAAGTTGTAAGTGGAATTTTGCCTTAAGGAAAGTTGAATGAACTTCCTGATACGACATTTGATATTTTAGTATTTATAAGTTAATCTTTAGTATTATAATATTGATATCTATGAGTAATTTATAGTTTAACTTGAACTATAATTGCGCAACATTTAAATTATAGAGTAATTAAATTTTTATCACCGTAATTACTTATATTAATTGTGATTGACTGATTGATTACGAACGGAATGCCACCCAAAATTCTTCGATTTGATGTCGTCAAGTATATAGATTCAAAATTCATGGTTTGATACTCAAAATCTGTCAATCTCCCATCGAATGCGCCTCTGTTTGCTAAAAGCCCAGGTATACATTTCCTACCCTTTACACCTGTGCATTACGCCCGGCAATTCTCTCGTGAAGATCAAGGTGCGAGAGCGAGGGCGCGATGCGGACTCACCTGTCTCAGACAGAGACGCTTTTTGACACTTTGATAGGTATTGTGAGAAATGGAGATAAGCACGCTACACGAGCCAGCCTCATAAAAAATCGAAAATATTGGAAAAAAAGCATACACATCACCCGAACAGGAGAATTTTAATTGTTCAAAATTATAATAAGAAAGCATGGGTTCGAAAATTGTTCTTTCTCGTTCCATCTTCTTTTTTTTACTGGTTAGTTTGTCGATGACATTTGTTGACATATCATTTATCACAACGTATTTAGTGAAGATTTCTTGTAATTTTTTTTTTTCAACAGCAGTTCCGCCCCTACAGCCGATTATTTATATAAATGACTATTTGGAGTTGAAGAGAAACGTTAGGAAAAAATAGGTCGAAACATTTGTTTTAAATAATAAAAATAATCTCTTTGAATTATAAAATTTCTTTATAATTATTTACTACTAAGAAGGATAAATAATTTATTGTTTTCATTTATCCTAGAGTACCTAGAGTAATAAAGATTATTTATGGCGAATTATTAGGTCTCGTCGAGATTACGGATAAAATAAGTCGAAACATTGGTTTAAAATAATAAGGTAAATCTATTTTTAAGTAAATTATAACATTTTAATGCAATTAGCTTACTACTAAGGCGAGAACATATTTCCTTCTGCTGTCTTTACTAAGGATTATATCTGGAGTAATAAAGATTATTTTTGGCGAATTATTAGGTAATTGAAATAATGATATAAATCTTATTTTATGTAATGTAAAATTTCTTCACAATTAATTAACTACTAAGATAAATAAATACTTTCGTCTGCTGTCCTTATTAAGGATTATTTCTGGAGTAATAAGAATTATTTCTGGCGAATTACTATGGAGATAATTGAAGAAAATAAATACTATAAAATTCCTTTATATTTAATTTACTACAAACATTTTTTTTACTGTCCTTATTAAAGATGTATTTTAAAACTAGTTGGTTTGGTATTTAGCCTTGAGGCAAATTACATGAACTTCCCGATATGTGTAAATAATCGACTTGATCAAAAAAATGTGTAAATAATATACTTCATCAATCCTACTTTAAAAAAAAACGATAATAATTCTAGCAAAGTTTGACGAATTTTTAAAATTAAACTACTTGTTGTAAGGCCGTAGCATTACAGTAAGTTCTATAAGACCATGATGTATATTGCCAAAAAAAGTTCCATGAAAATCGGCTTCAATTTTTTTTTCAACAGTTCATTACAAGAAAACGGCTTGGTAGATTTTCACCTAAAATTAATCAGCATCATTCCCAACTAATATCTTTCGAACAGTTTTTGATTTTTTAAAATCGGTTCGGTAGGATGAGCTGAAATGTGGACGAAAATTTAACACTTTTTTTCAACATTTAATTACAAGAAAACGGCTCGGTAGATTTTCACCTAAAATTAATCAGCATCATTCCCAACTAATATCTTTCGAACAGTTTTTGATTTTTTAAAATCGGTTCGGTAGGATGAGCTTAAATGTGGACGAAAATTTAACACTTTTTTTCAACATTTAATTACAAGAAAACGGCTCGGTAGATTTTCACCTAAAATTAATCAGCATCATTCCCAACTAATATCTTTCGAACAGTTTTTGATTTTTTAATATCGGTTCGGTAGGATGAGCTTAAATGTGGACGAAAATTTAACACTTTTTTTCAACAGTAAATTACAAGAAAACGGCTCGGTAGATTTTCACCTAAAATTAATCAGCATCATTCCCAACTAATATCTTTCGAACAGTTTTTGATTTTTTAAAATCGGTTCGGTAGGATGAGCTTAAATGTGGACGAAAATTTAACACTTTTTTTCAACATTTAATTACAAGAAAACGGCTCGGTAGATTTTCACCTAAAATTAATCAGCATCATTCCCAACTAATATCTTTCGAACAGTTTTTGATTTTTTAAAATCGGTTCGGTAGGATGAGCTTAAATGTGGACGAAAAGTTCAACACTTTTTTTCAAATTACGAAGAAACGGCTTGGCAGATCGTTGCACAAAACTGACAAACGATAGTCCTCACCGAAATACATCAAATGGCTTTTAAATTTCTAAAATCGGTTCAGGCGTTTTTGAGAAAACGTCGATCAAAAGTCTAATTTTGACAAATGCCAAAAAGACCATACTGATTTTTGCAAACTTTGACGAATTTTTAAAGCTGAACCAGTTGTCGTAGGGCCGTAATATTTTAGTATGACCTAGAAGACTGTGGTATCTATCGTCAAAAAAATAATCATAAAAATTGTCAAAATTTTTTTTTTTTTAAACTTTATTACAAGAAAACGGCCCGGCCGATCTTTACCAAAAACTAATCAGCACGATTCCCAACCAATATCTATCGAACGGTTTTTGAATTTTCAGAATCGATTCAGAATTGCGGGCTAAAACGTGGACGAAAAATTTTTCACTTTTCTGCAATTTACAAAGAAACGGCCCGGCCGATCGCCGCACAAAACTCAGAGACGATAGTCCTCATCGAGATACATCAAATGGCTTTTAAATTTTTGAAATCGGTCCAACCGTTTTGGAGAAAACGTCGATTTACGGCAAAAAATCTGTTCACACACACACACACACACACATACACACACACACACACACACACACACACACATACTTTTTCCAAATTTGGTCTCATTCGATTCAGAATGGCTCGAAACGTCGAGAAAACATAAAATTAGCGATTCGGATTTTTTGATGAAAACATAAACTTCTCCTTCGGGAAGTTAAAAAAAAGATCATTCCTGGGAATTACGTTGGTAATTATGAGATAAAATAGGTCGAAATATTTGTTGTAATAAATAATCAGAAAATCCATGTTCAAAACCCGCTTTGGTCAAGCAGTAGTGACATCGGTGTTTACTTGGAAATATAGATTGCAATATGTTTCCTGGTAAAAATAGCCATTATTACGCATTGCTGCATCAATTAAAAAATCATCAGTATTACAGAAATTGTAATAATAAATTGATCAAATAGAGCTAGGACAACCGTGGGGTTACCTTTTGAAAAAGCGACATAGTTAAATGTTCTCATCTCTACAGTTTATAGGACTAGTAAGTTCTGATTACTTTTGGTTCAAAAAATCAAATTTTTTTATTTATTTCTGGTATTTATTTACTTTTTTCCAAATTTTTGAACTTTAATGAGAATTATTATTAATGTTCTATAAGCTGATGTTCTGGATCATTATAAGTTGGCAATCTAGTGATTGACCATCTTCTTTGTGCTGAGATTATTATTAGATATTTCTAATAGTGATATATATGTTACAGTAATGTTCCTAAAAGAAATTTTCAATTAAAACTTATTTGGACCTTGTTGTTAAGTATGGTCACTTTTGCTTGATATCAAGCAGGAAACGTGAATAAAACCTGGTTCCTATAATTGCATGGTCACAGTATCTCTTACTATATGTTATAAATGAAATCTGCTCCAATAATAATAAAAATAATAATAAATAAATATATTTCATTAAATATAGATATGTACATAATATTTCCTATTTTGTTCGGATTTTTACCCGTAGGTAAAATTATCCATCATATATGGTACAACAATAGTTAATATTTGAAATATAAAAGTTGTGACATAATTGTGTGACAAAAAAAAGAGGAAAGGAAAATTTTCTTCCCAAAAAAATCACATAGCAACATTCGTAATAAAAGATAAAAGATAAATCTGCTCCAACTTTGATAATTATCATATTGTATATGTATTGTACAACAAGTATTACAGATTTTACTGGACCAACAATAAAAAAATTGGTTCAAAGAAACAAAAAAATTGTGACATTTTTGTAGAGTAGATTGTTGAAAGCACCTTTGCTTCAGTTCTTTGGAACTGATTATCGTCATTTTGTTAAAGACCATCTTGTTTTATGAGCTGGTTAAGACAATGAAAAAATACGAATGTCTGCTATAATTTTTAGTGTTATTATTATTTTATCTTAATTCATTTATTAATATGAAATATATTTTTATATCTCGATTCAGGCATAAGTGTCAATTATGGCATGATTAGATACCATTGATTCCAATTATTCAATTATTCATTCTTGCATATATTTATTGTTTTATTCATATTTAATAGACTTCAACTGAAAGTTTAGGATGAAGAATTACTTAAATTGTGATTTATTATCCTGATCTTGATAATCTAAATTCTCAATCTCAATTTCTATCCTTTATCAGGTTATTGTTCGGGCTCGCAGTACTGGCCTCTGTAGCATCGTGCGCGTTGGCCGCCAGAGGGCAGGGCTCATCGGCTCAATCTCGCCAGGACAGTTCCGGTAATAACGGGTATGAAGACCTCGCCCTCTGGATAGACAAAGAACAAGTCAAAATGTTTAGCGGTCAGTATACATTAATAGAATTTTTATTTTGTGACCTTGATTCTGGTCTTACTGTCAACAGCATATAGTGGATCAATGTTGCTAAAAAAAATCTTTCAATTTCCCAGGTATGTCAATAAAAATCGATGTGATAGCCAACGGCAACGTGCAGCCTTACATTTTGGAACCAATGTTCGAGCAACATCTACCCGAAATACCCTCAGAAGTAAGCTACGTAAATTTTACTTGGGTTTCTGGCATGAAGAAGTATTATTACCATTTCGATAGACTCCACTCGTCGGACGAGAGTATATTGGAACCGCCCGTTATATCTATAAAAACCAAAGGACGAGTGCCGCGTAAAGCCAAAGGTAATCATTTTGTGCTAATATTGACATTCAACAAGGCATTTCATATATTTGTTTAACGGTTAACCAACGCTTCACGCTCTGATGTGATCTGAAGACAAATGGAAATGAACCAATGGGAAAAGACTCACTTCTACTTAACTTCTAATATTTTGATTTATTTGTGAAATATGATTCTTTCTTTATTTACAGCAATATTTATACTTGTAATTTATGATAAGGTAAAGAATTTAATCACTAATTTGCTTCTTATTCATAGGACAAACTTATCAAATAACTAATTGTTTTAGTTTTTCTTATGAAGGTTGAAACCTTTGAATATACTTTTTTCAATTCGTCCTACACGATACAACTAATATGAAGATCAATTTATATCCATTGGTCAATAGCATTTATTATACATATGTAGATATGTATGACACAGGTTTATATATAGATTTATAGCAATATCTTCATTTTCGTAATTTATGATAAAAGAAATTCTTTCATGATAAAAACAATTCTCATTTGGTTTGCGTTTGAATTAAATAATTCATAAGTGATTTAAAAACTTGTATAATTTAAACACTTTTAAAAATACTTTTTTCAACTGGATCTATTCAGTACTAATATGTAGATCAATTTATTCATAATTCAGAAGCATATAAACAGCTTTTTATTCAATAATATATTTATTTTCGTAATTTGTGAGGTTTAAATTTCTATTCGGTCTTCGTTGGATGAATAGAATAAATAAATTTAACCAGTTGACTGTGATTGAGAAGTAGCATAATTTTGTGAATTGAGGAATATCCTCGCCATGCGTATAACACCTTGACCATGGGCTATTCAGTTTGCAATTTTTAAAAACGAAAAATAAAAACTTATTCTCAAATTTCAAGGTATTTAAAATATGTTGAAGCTATGCCGATACAAAATAAATAGTTGTAAATGGCATTTTACCTCAAAAACAACATTTTAACACGATTCTGAAAATACAAGATGATGTACACTGTTCAATTAGAGCGCCACAGTTAACTGGTTAAGGCAAATTATTATAATATATTTGGTAATAAATTTATCAACCCTTTCACTACGGCAGTCTTCTCCACAATAGTGACATTGCTGTCCAGGACAGCAAGTCGCCTAAGTATTTGCTACACAACATTAACATTAAGATATTTAAGATTTTCCAATCTAAATAAAAAAAATATAAATAAAAATTACAATAATTTAATTTGGAGTTTTGAATAATTTAACTCGTGTTATATTCTAATCAGAGTGTTAATTCTTGAAGCACGATGGATGTCGAGATGTCGATTATAGATAAATATGTTTTACGTGGTTTATAAGCATTGGTTTGGATGGGGTCGCGGATTCGAGCCCCCGCTCTTGCAATCTGACATCGGTCAGCTGCGATGTCCATTTTTCAATTGAAAATAAGCCCAATGGGAAATTTCTTACACTCTTCTTCCCTGAATCGAGTTGTAGTTTAACTCAGCTTACGGACCTGCCCTAGGGCAGTACTCCCATTATTTTTTATTAGAATTGTTTAAACTGGAATTAAATTGGAATTGGTGTCATACGTCCCGATTTCGCCGGGACAGCCCCGGATTTCCACCTTGTGTCCCAGGTCTTTTTAAAAATAATTTGATCCGGATTTAAATCTATTGTCCGGGATTGTTCCGGTTTTTCAAAAAGTATATGTTTAAATTGAATCTTTGCTCATACTTGATAATAAAGTTACAACTACTCCATCAAATATCTGAAAGTGTTATGTACAACTGGTATGCTTTTATAAAAAAGCTGGTTAAAATAGCCTTTCACCTTCATTTTGAACTTATATTTTAAATTTTACGAAAATTAACAAAAATTATGAAAATGAACTTCTTGACTGCCTGGGATAGCTAAGTGCTAGGTATTTTTAAATAATTATGAAGAAAATTGAACAAAATAATATAATAAGTTTGAAAGCTTAAACAACATATTGATCCAAAAGTATAAGTATGAAATACAATATAGGTATAATTAAACAATAACGTTCTTATTATCAGTAATCAGTAATTATGATCTAAAAATAATTCCTCATTTAAAAAGACGGATTTTTATTGCATTCCTAAATAGTTATTTGTTATTTTAAAATCATATTAATTTTTTTAGTATTTACTATACCAAACCTCCCGGGCCGGAATATCATAACTAAAAATTACCGTCCCGGTTTTGACTTGAAAATATATGGTCACCTTAGTTAAACGCGCTTTATCTAATATATCTAATATAATGAATGTATGTATGTAATGTAATAATGTTTCCATGTTTTCAGAGTTTAGCGTGCTCTTACCTTGCTCAGGCAACAGGAGCGGCATAGCGAAGTTCAGCATCGGCCTCCTGATCCAGACTCGTCGCGGCCGTCCCGTGCCGGGCACGCCGCTGCGGCTCCAACTGCGCAAAGAGTGCTCGCAGAGAGGTGCGTATCCCACTGGCTCGCGTGCACTCGCCCGTGCGCCAGGTATCGTATGTCGTTCCTGATCATATTCATACAATATATGATTATTCATATATTGCTAGCATTAGATTTTTCGAAACAAATAGAACTAGAGGAAATATTAGATGATTAAATTCAATAAACGAGGTTGATAGTTGATACCTAGAAGTAGTTGTAATGTATAAGTTTGATATTATACCAAAGTTTTGAAAATTTTGAAAATATTCTCATTCTAAAAATTCCAGAGAGTTTAGATTTTAAATTTGTTATTATGTTGTTGGGCAATATATGAGTAATACGTGTATAACTCACTCATTATCAGACTTATCCTCAAATTAATCTCTAAAAGCTAATGCTAACCATAGACCTTATACCAAATTATACATAATATATACTTAAGTATTTATTATAAGGTCTATGATTAGAACATTATATATTTTTATCTAACATTTAGTTATTATATTTATATAGGGGGAAGTACCCGAGTGGCGGACACCAAAAGTTATCTATATATAAAAAAGCAACCTTTGCCAAAAAATAATTAATACTATCAATCAAACTTCGGTAACAAAAAATATGATTTTAAAAAGTGGCACCTAGTACCGGACTTTTCAAATTAACCTGCATTGAACACATATGTAGCCATAGATAAAAGAAGAATATGTAGCCATCTCCACACTCTGAAATGTCTGCACATGTGTGTTTGACGAAGATATTGCAAAAAAATCACTATTCATCCACCATTCTGTCTGGGCCACACGGATGCTTTCAGCTCGAGCATTCATATAAGCTTTTAATTTTTTGATTAGGAAATACGAATAATGGGGCTATGTAGTGACCGTTAGCATTCATACAGAACAAAATATTCATATAAGCTTTTCATTCTTTGATTAGGAAATACGAAGAATGGGGTTATGTAGTGACTGTTAGCATTCATACAGAACTAAATTAAATAATTAGAATAAATGTATTTTGAAATGAAAAGATTTATACTCGCTTAAATAATACGTGTTAAATAGAGTGTTCGGCGCTAGGTGCCGTCCAGCGTTACGAGACTTTCCCCTATAGTAAAGAAGAACATATGAAATAATGTTACTATTTGGTATATTTTTAGTCCTTTATTAACTTCCCGTAGGGTAAGTTATAGTAATCGCCCAATAATGGAAAATGAAAATTTTTACATATATTTACGTTTCAGAGGTTTCTGAACATTTTGGCATACCTTAGAAAAAATGAATGTGTAGTATGAATGTATGTATGGATACAATTTTTCGTCGGTGTTTCTGGGAGCATCGCTCGACCGATTTGACTAATTCAAAAAGCATTCGATTCCTATTGATAAGGAGATGCTGATTAGTTTTTGGCAGAAGTCGATCCTGTCGTCTCGGAGATACGGTACAAAGACTGCAGAAAATGGCAACCAAGTTTGTGAGAGAAGTGAGCATGCGATTTGAATTATTTGGAAAACCTTTCATGTGTATTGATGTAATGAAGAATTGATTAAGTTTTTGCAAAGGCAGATCTAGCAGTTTCGGAAATCCAGAAAAAAAAGTTAAGAAAAAACGCCATTTGGCAGTCTAAAATCAGAATATTTGTTATTTGAATCAACCTATATGAATGAGTATCAAAAACTTTAAGGAAATTTCAACCTAAAAATTTTCAAAAAATATCAGTATGTATTTTCAAAAGAGGCAATTTTTTGACGATTACTATAATTTACCCTACAGAAAGTTAATAACTCTCTCTTTATATAGGCATATATAAGCATCACATCAATGAAAATAATAATCAACCACTTACAGTTCTAATTTTATTAAATAGTAAAATATTTCATTTATCACTAGGACCAGATCCTGAATGCAACAGAAAATGCGCTAATCAAGGTTGGTGCAATAGTGAGAAAATATGTCAGTGCCCAGAAGGTTATATGGGGCAACACTGCCAGATAGCTCTTTGTTACCCTCAGTGCATGAATGGTGGAAACTGCTCCGCTCCTGGTTTGTGCAGCTGCCCACCGGGATATCAAGGAAGACATTGTGAAGGCGGTGAGCAGGTTCTTCATTTATTTTCTTTACAATTTTTATGGGAGTTTTAGTTAATAGTTACATAGTACCATTATTTGTTAAATTAACATATTGCCAGAATAATTAATAAGAAAAGGTACACTCTTACTCTTTGCTTACCAGTAGAATTTACAAATCGTTTGCTCCAAAAGTTGGCAAAGCAATATGGAATGATCATATAATTGATTTTTCCAATTATTTTTGTAGTATATTCCAAATGAGATCATTTCTGATGAGGATTCTACTTTATTATTCACTTTAACTTAATTAATTACTATTTATAGCAATCACTATGTTAAGACAAAACATAACTTTACATGGCAAAACATAGCTCTTGCTTTTGAGTCTGATCACATAATGGCTAATTTAGTAAGTTAGCTTATATAAGACAAGTTATTATTACTGAACGTTTTTATTAAATTCAATATAAAATATCTGTAATACAAAACTATATTTATTGTTATTTCATTATATCACTTTATACTACTTTTAGTTTACTACATTATACTACTTTTGAAATAGCTATCGCTGTTTTACACCCGACTTTGATAACTTCAGTTAAGCCTTTGTAAAATATTGCCTGCTCAGCGCCATGATCTATACCAGTATCATGATGTTCTTGTTCTTCATCTCGGAATTTTTTGATAGTTTTGAGCAACTCCTGTATTTAAGGTCAAAGATCAATTTGCAATAAAAAATATATACAGAATAGTAATAATTATATTTCATAAAACAGCTATTGGTTTTCAACCTCATTTGTTTCTGGATCTTCCATCAAAGTACGTAATTGGTCGTTGTAGTGATCAACGATAACAGTTTCTACAGCAACTGTGCAGGCCATTGCTGCTTTCTCGCCCAACAACGCCGTGCCTTTAAAATATATAGAGAAACAAATATCCTCAGTATATTTTTATATTGTTAATTGGTATAAATATGTTCTTGTAATGCTCACCAGCCCCTAACATAAACCCAGCAACATTCCACAATGGAGTCATCACAGTAGGTCGTACTCGATGTTTTCTTATCAGATCTTCAAATTCAGCTCTGTGTCCTTTTTCTTGATCCCACATATGTTGAATTAATGGTCCAACTGGGGTTTTTCCTAATAGATACATTTTTGTTAAAATCTTTTTGTAATAAATATCTTAAATATGAAAATGTACCTAAAATAGCCATTTGTCCAGCATAAATTCTATCAGCGCCTAATTCTCCAGCATGATCGACTCTTATTATTTTATCTAATATCTCCTTGGGCGTTCCAGAATTTGTTGTTGATTCAAATCTATATCCAAGTAATCGTACGTTCGGGAAATATCTGGGTTTAGCCCACATATTTATTAAATCTGGAAAATAAAAAAATGTTTATCTATTCAATCATCTATTATTAGAAAGTTTTAGAACTTTTACACTTTTATTAAAATTCTTTAAGTTCAATATTATTTTTGAATTATTGAAAGTTAATCAAGTATAATTGAATTATTTTTAATGTTTATAGGTATTTGCACAGAAAAATGCTTGAATGGTGGAAAATGCATTCAGAAGGACAAATGTGAATGCTCTAAAGGATATCATGGCCTACGCTGTGAATTTTGTAAGTAAATTTGGACATCAAATCGTACTTTATCATTAATTTAAGTTTATAGATTAAATATGCTCGAGTAGAAAGAATGGTATGGTATAAAGTTTCATTGCCAATACAGCTACAGGTCTCCAAGTTAAATGTTGAAATTTAGAATGTGTTGTAGTGAAAAGTGTATGAGGCTCCAATATTACTTATTAGGATTTTCGAGATGATTTTTCTAAAATCAGGTGTCTTAAGAAGTATTGCAACTATAACATTCTGATGATCTTCAAGCTTATCCAAATTATATAGTTGCTCAACTTTTTGATACACCAGATTCTGGAAGGCTAAATAAGAAAATTCTGGATCTTTGAATTTGAATCACGTATTCTACTAATTTAATATTTTAGCCAAATGTGTAATACCATGCCTAAATGGTGGAAAATGCAGGGATGTAAATAAATGCCGATGTTTGCCGGGTTACAGTGGTGATCACTGTCAAATAAAAAGCTGGAGAGTCCAGTCGCGCAGTGCTTGCCAGCGTTGTGGACATGGAACGTGCCAGCCCGACAACACTTGCAAATGTGATAAAGGATACTTTGGGCGATTGTGCAATCATAGTAAGTAATGGAAACGATATTAAATCAAATTTAACGAGGTGAAGGCATTTTGCCTTAAAGGAAGTTTAATGAACTTTCCTAGAACTTTCCCTTTTATCTAATTCTGAAGAAACGCTTCGGTCACGTAGAACTAATCAACACGAATCCTTATCGTGTATAATCGGATGGAATGTGGTATCAAATGATCCTGAATGATTTGAAAAGTAGACTAAAACAAACTCCTTAGGGAAGTTAAAAACTATATGCTTTAGTATATGTCGTATATAAGTTAAATACAATTACATCAGAGCTTTCTATAGAATATAGAATATTCAGAGTATTCTATAGAATACCAAAAATAATTGAAACCAAAAATAGACTGTCGATTTAATAAAATTAGGAATAGCTACCTCTTAATTTTTTCGTAATCAGTACAATATAAAATTATAGATACTAAAGTTTGTACTTTTTCTAATTTTTTTTAATTTCTAATCCAATATTATATATGTGTTAATATATATATATATATATATATATATATATATATGTGTAGACTGGCATGTAGCCAGCATCTTGGTAAAGAGAACACCGATATAAACCCTAATACCATTTCAATACTCAACAATATCAACATTGATTAAATAAATTTATATATACTATATTCATAAGTTTGAAATGCTCCAAATTATAAAATAATATATTACTACCACCTAAAAATAATTATTTGTTTAAAGAGTGATTTTCAAAAGCATTGCCCTAAATAAATTTAATGGTTCCTTCTTTCTATAGGTGAACACTCTGATGAGTTCTCATCAGAAGGTAAGAATTCAATTTCAATTTCAATTCACCATGTTGTGTACATTCACCACGTATTTCATTCTATACATATAGAATTTATATTCAGAGTCATTCCACAGAAAACTCAACATTTTATGTTTCTGCAAATGTGTTCTCACAAATATTGTAAGGTATTCTACTATTCCTATGTGACTAACACACTTCATGTATGATACTAGTTACATTCATGAAACTAGCAGTTGAATATATTTATTATTGTCTAATAATTATCATTGAAACAAATGCATGCAATAGAGCAAAAATAACTAACTGGCCTATATTTTATAGAAGCGATTACAAACCGAAAAAGGGGTCCTTCAAAACTTCCAAGAAGATAAAAATTTGAAAGTTATAAGAACTATTTAAAGAGAACATATTATAGAGTTAAAATTCAAAAGTGTGTGAAAAAATCAATCCACAATTTATAGGAAAAGCAAATTATATAATAATATAACATGCCTTGAAAGATATATATTTAAGCTATAATGTTATGACTATACTAATTAGATTTTTAAATATTGTATGTGGATTCTATATTTTGTAAATTATATTTTGAGTTATTGCATATAAACAATTGACTGTGAACATTCTATTTGTTAACAAAAGTTAATTTATCTTAAGTTTGCATATATATTTAAATATATATAATTTTTATCCTCGATTTATTGAATAAGATCAAATTTGAATATTATTAAAAAAATTATGTACTAGATATAAATGTGATATATGAATAAAAAATCTAGATCTGAGCCATGATCATGTATTTCAATTACAGATGACTAAGAAAATCAATTTTCATTCAGTTTGCATGCCTATACCCATTCGAAATTGTCCATTATTGTGATTCATCAAACCGCTAAAAATTAAGCTAATCGGCATGTTGCACATGCATTTTTCTACTGTGGCTCCGACATTCCAATCAGAATTGATCAAACCTTTGAAAATTATTGAGTCCATCTCAAGTCTATATAATATAGTTGCACTAGATTTGTTGGTCCTCAGATTTATACTTAACTCAGTCCCAATGTGCAACTTTGCATTAGCTTTTTGATAAAAATATACATCAAGCGCATGGGGACTTACTGTGGCACATAACATACTGGTGTTAGAACAATATCTTCCTGCCAATGATAACATTGTAAATTCTTCTTTATTTTGACTGCCATCCCATCTCATAGTAAATTCGGTTCCTAATGCTATTCTATTAGTTAATTTTTGTAGATAGTGTAATAATATCGATCCACTCTCATACATACGATGAACATCACACACATAAAAAGAACCAGTGTATGAATTACCAAAATAGTCTAAAAAAAACGAACTCTCATTAATTTGCTTCTGTTGATGCATTTGAGTAAATCCTCTGAATGCTAAACGATCAGTGAAATTGTGAGATATAACTCCGCTGAAGTCTCCATTAGGACTAAATTCTCCATATATCAAAGGACCTGCCCTGATTTCTGGAAACTTGGCACCACAATAACTTATTCCAAATCTATATCCACTAGGGTAGACAGAGCTCATGTGAAAAGCATGTTTGATGCTTATATGAGGACTTATTGCTTTACATGCCAGAATTTTTGCACCTTCGAAGAGTGTGGGCCACAGATCTTTTGTTCGTTTGTTGATATCTTGTAATGTACCTGGATTTTTCAAGGTATCATGCCTATTTCCAGGAACTTTGCTTAATTGAGCTGGAAAATCCTTACATGGTGCTCCGGCAAATACATTTCCCATTATATTATAACAAATTAATCAAAAACCACTTTTATAAAAACCATATAAAAATATATATTGTCAAAAGTCATTATAAAATCTAAACAATAATTTTCAAACATTGTTATCATTTGTTTAAGTATATACTTTTGTTTACATAAGCAAAAAATATTTTTCATACCTTTTTTTCTTCAGATTTCGATATTTATAAATCAAGTAAATATTATTCAAATTTGGCGCCTCAAACTAACATGAATCAAAATGTATGTCGTACTCGTTTTTGATAACAGATGTCCTTGGTATATAAATGACAATTATATCACCATTATTATATATTTTAATAGAACATGATTAGTGTTGGTGTGCTTTAGAATAATTAAAATAAGTGTGTGAAGGTAAGATAAAAATCCATCTAACAAATAAATTGTATCCTGGGGTATTTGTTAACGTTTCGAATCGATGTTCACAACATAAACAAACAGAAAAAACGTGAAGTGCGAAAAAGCTGTCATAGCGCAGACTCCAATAAAATGGCGGCCGTCTAATGAATGCGATGCCTTTTATCCCCTTTCCTTGTCAAGTCAAATTTCGATCGATATTCGTGTAGGACATGTAAGGAACGTATAAGTTAAATGTGTTTTCATACCTGATGTGTATTGTGTAGTGATGAGGAATCGCCAGAAACTTGAAACTAAGTTGTAGTTAATAATGGGCCGACAAGAAGACGTTTGAATATGTTTTCTTATTGAAATGGCCCTCTTTTGCACGCAGGTGCGTACGCAGCCGTAGTCTTTGGATTTTAACTGAGCCTGCTCGCAGGCGCATTTCTCTTATCTACGTGATTACTTTTGTTGTTTACATGAATACCTTGACAGCACTAATGTCAGATTTTATTTTCAATAATTTATTTATCTGTAATCAAATTATAACATAGTCAGGGTTCTATGATTGACGGCATACTCGCGACTCAAAAAATCCCACCATATGTAAACATTTCAAATACCTTCTCGTAATTGAATATTTTCATTAAATTCGCGCTTAAATGACTAAAAGGGTTTTAAATTAATGGGATATTTTCATATTCTTTTTTTGTTTGACTTGATGTAACCAAAATGATTAATCTATTCAGTTATTGATTTTTATGTCATAAGCTTGGGCTAGCTATTACCAAATGACTTTTGTAATATATTTCTACTTCCTTTATCTAACTAACTCTTCATAAATATTTAGATATAATTCCTTGCATGTTCTCTGTAAATATTAACATATTTGTATATATATATATATATATATATATATCTGTGTGTGTGTCTGTGCCTGTGTGTATGTATGTGCATGTAGTTTTTATGGGATGAAAAAATATTAATTTCCAGGCAATCATTATATATTTAATTACAAAACTTTATTAATTATGGTCACAATTCATCTTGATTAATAACAAACCCCAAAAGAGCCTCATAATGATTCTTTAACAGTGCAGTTGGCATAAACAATTTCAAAATAAAAAAAAATTACTTGTGTTACTATTTTAACATAGTTAATTTTTAATTATTTTTTTCTTTATATTTTTATTTCTACTTATTTTCAATATTTCCTTTTACCTATTAATTCTAATTTTTAATTTATTATCTTTACATTGCACTCAATAAATTGAAATTTGTAATGAGAGCAATTTCTTACAAATAATTTAATTCTGCCTTACATTGATCTTGGTGAAAGAAATATATATCACATGCCTTCTTTTCTGCATATAATGTTTACATGAAATAAATAATTTAATTTTCATGAATATTTGAAATTTGTTTTTAATAAAGTTATACATCTTTTTCTCAAGTTCCTTGTTCCTTTATTGATGACGAAATTTAAAAACGTTTATATATTTTCGGCAATATTTCGGTAGTCTCACAAAAAGACTGTGTGGTTTATATATTTTAATTTTGAATATTGTCTATGCAATAATATAATAAAAATTTACATTTTTATATATTATTTTGATAGTTAGTAATTGAGGAAAAAATGTTGCTTATGGCCAATAATTGATGACAAAGTTAAATTTATTTTCTTTAAATTTAAATGTTGTAAATTTATCGTAAGAATTAATCAACACGTTTATAATATTGATCTGTAATTGTTTCGTTATCGTTTATTGTCTGCTAAATTTTGAAAACAATCATCATGCAAACAATGGTTGCAAATATCTTTCATTTACAATAAGACTTCTTATGTTACTCATTGTTCTAATATCGTATTTCTAAGCTAATTTTGATTTTATTTTTATTTTTCATTTAATTGATTTAAATTTACCAAATATTTTTTTAGAGCTGATGTGTTAGAGATAAAAATTTTAGTATCGCGATGACATATTGCCCTAATGCTCTTTGTGATATATGTAGATTTTTGTTACTCTGAAGAGAACCGAAATGACCATAAATATTTTATCAAATTTTTATCAAATCACATTGTATTTAAACTTCATATGTACAAACTTCTCGCTTGATATAATACATTTGAAATCATAAAAGCAGAATCTTTTAGTCTTTGCTATAGTATTTAGCCACATAATTTCTTTTCATACCATAAACCTCTATATAATTTTTTTTAATGATTTCTTATTTCTCTCCTTTCTAATTCTTCTAATCTTTTCTCATCTTTTTTCTTCTAATTTTATTTAATTATTTTCCAACATATTAATTTTTAATATTTTTATTTGTAACATTTTTAAAATCTTATTTTTCAGTACTGCAAATAGGTTTAGTTTCTTATATTATCAATAATCATTTTCTTATATTTTTATACCTATCCTAATAGGATAACAAGGAGCGTCCATTAATCACGTGAACCCTAAAGGGTGAGGCGGAGTTTGACGAAAAATCACGAAATATCACGTAGGGGAGGGGAGCCTTGTTATAGATATCACGTGTATTTATTTTTTACCTCAATTTAAAAAAATCCAGAAAAAATGAAAAATTTAACGATTTTTTTCTAGGGGGTAAATATAAGTATCAATAAAAGGGAGGGTCAAAAATAATTAGAAATCGCTCACGTGATTAATGGACCACCCCCCAAGTAAAATTTGCAAAATAGAAAATGGGTTTTAAATAGAAAGTCTTCTGACCAGTGTGAGCTATTTTGAGATTGAAAGAATTTAGTATATAATGAACTTCTTTTTCAATCTTGTCCTGGTAGTGCTGTGGAAAAGTTCTCTGGCATGTGAGTTTGGGTGATCTTCAAGGTGGCTTTTATATTTGTCTGAATGATTTTTTTCCGACGATTTGTTCTGAATGATTTTTTTATTGTGTTGATGTTGATGCCGACATTTTTATAGATTAACGAATTTGGAACTTACCTACTTTTAGTCAATCTGAATTTCTTTTATTACTTTATTTTGATATCTTTGAATTTTTACCATGTTTGATTGGAACGCTGTTACTTTATAGTTGTATACCGTATGTCCAAACTGGCTTAAAAATTTTCAAATATGTCAATTTTATTTTATACACAGTACTTGATCGGGATTCAATCTGAGTACCTCTTTTATATCGAGTCGAGTGCTCAACTCAGTGGTTTCCAACCTTTTCCACACCGCGCCTCCCCCTTTAATAAAATAATTTGTTGCGACCCCCTTAATTTTTTCAACAATTCAATTTCATAAATAGTCAACTGGCATTACCAGACTACAAATTAATATTCATTATTATGTAACATTATGCATAAAAAGTTAAAAATTAATAATTTTTTTGTTTATTATTTCTTATAATTTAAAAAATTTTGGTTTATTTTCGAAAATAGTATTTTAGATACAGAGGTATGCGCCCTCCTTATAATATCCAGGTGCCCCCTCTGAGGGACCGCGCCCCACAGGTTGAAAACAGGACTTAATCATAAAATGAGATACAATATATAATCCCAGAATTGACTATAGCCCATTTACCAGCATTAACACTGGTGATATTACTAGAAATTATACTCAAACTATATATTAGCACATGTTACTCAATCATCTAACAATTAATTTTTCTATTGCCATGCTAATTATTGCTAAAAGCTGCAACTTTTCCCATAAAATTTATGTAACAAATTATATAATGATTCCATTTTGTTCACAGGTACCAGTCATCAATATTCTAGTCAAATAAATTTAGGAAAATTCACACGATTACTATAACAATATCACAGAAGTACATGTCGTCTCCTCTACCATCACAAATGCTTATTACCTGTCGTCTAAAATAATTGAATCCACTACAAGAACTACTCCATTCTTCACGCGTTGACCTCTTTGGAAGTAATTTAAGCAGCAAAATGGTGACTATAATCAAAACAGTTGGTAGTGAATGCATGGATATGATGGAAGATGGTGGTGGTCTTTCCGGGTGCTCTGATGACGAAGATGATGGATGCCCTTCTAGTCCTGGTTCGACTTATGACGATGGAGCGGACCTCATGACGGTGGCAATGGGTGATGAAGTCACAGCACAGCTAGCCGCTGCAGGTTGGCACAATAGATGCAATGGTGATTTCACTTTTTATTTTGCTTTTTGTAGTTTTGATTTAATTCATACACATTACGTATAACGGATTTTTAATGCTAATTTATCATTTATTAGCCGATGAAGATATTTACTAGGATTACGTACTGGGCGGGATATTGTCGATACCAAATTTGCGCAAAACAGCAACTTTGTCCTAAACTTTAATGCGATTCCTTGAATTTGTATAATATGAGCCGTTCAGTGCACACTGACTAACTTCAAAAAAACAAAAATGAAGAAATGCGATGAAGTAGTGTATATTTAAAAAAATCCTGATATGATGTAAATTGAAATATATAGGAAAGAACGCATAAATGAATATTTAGCTTTCATGCGATTGTATATGAAGTTAATAACGAAGAAAGGTGAATAAATAATCAACAGTAATGGAGTTAATCGTTTTGGCAACTGAAAAAACGAATAAAGTTAAACTCAGTATTCAAGTTTTTAATTACAGAAAAGTTAATTCTTATATATTTACAGTAGAATCCGCTTAGTATGACATCGAAGGGACGCCGAAATCTCGTCATACTAACCGGTCGTCATTAAAAGCGTACTAAAGAAAAACTTTTTAATATGTAAATATGTTACATGTTTCAGTAATTTAAAAGAAAAGCCTATACAAACGTTTTAATTAAAAATAAAAATGACACATTAAAATTTAATATAAAATAAAATTGACATAGGGTAGTACTGTCTAAACCCAATGAACAACACATAACATACATCAAAGAAGCATCTATCGAACTATGTTCAGAAAAACTTACATACATACGTACATAATTATATAAATATTATATTGTTTACTATTTTTTAAACCTTTGGTATCTGACCCATTTTACTTCACAACCAGGGGGCGAACAGATGCAATTTCTTTTATTAAATTTTAAAGGCTTTTTATGCTACATTATTGAACCAATGCAAAATCTTAATTCTGTGGGTACATTTGTTACAAAGACAACACAGTATATTACATTGATTTGCTATTGGTCAGAAATATTCATCAGAAGAGCCGGAATAACAATTTATTCAATTAATCTCTTGTAAAATTGCTTTTTTTAAACTTTACTATCTTATTGCTTATACCTTTGCCAAAATAAAGGTTCAGCTGGTCCTTTTTATCGTAGTTATGTGCCGCTTAGATTCTGATAGCAAAGTCATAAGAATAAAGGTGATGGCTGGTTATGAATTTATACATTTTTCGCCCTCTACTATCAAATATAATTGTTAAAAAAAATCTAATTTTATTTGTTTATGAGATATCCGTGGTGGGCCATTGATAATTAGTCTACCCTACCCATAAACATACAAATGTGTTTTTTAATGTAAGTAATCAGTAATTTTAGATTGATTTCTTTGCATAATTTTATTGTAAAAACAGCCCCTGGTGCTACTGTGCACAAAAGACATAGCAATTGCTTTCGTAGACTTGGCCACATCATGTAAAATCATGTCGGTCATTATAATTGGACATATTTTTTTGCAAAAATGGGTCATTATAAGCGACATGTCAATGTAAGCGAGGTCAATATATCCGACTAGACAGCTGTTTTTTTAAGGAATTTTATATGGAAACCAAATTCCTAGTGCAATTACGTCATATTAAGCGGTTGTCAATATATCCGGCGTCATACTAATCGGATTCTACTGTATATTACAGCTCTTTCATAAAAATGAACGTCGATAATTCTGTTATAATATGTTATTCGTAATTAGTTTACCAGCAATATTGTCTTTTTCTGTATGGAGGAATGAATTTTCGCAGCTCATGACTATTCGCTTCACCCTTTTCATATCACAATTATACATTTAGAATATAATAAAGGCTGAACTATATTTTTCAAACTTAGTGGTTTAACTTTTACAGATTTTCTGATAAAATTTTTCTTAGAAGGTCTTCTGATCCTTCTGACTTTATCTGGCATAGTTTAATCAAATTTACTGGAAACCCTGTCATAGTAACTTAATATTATTGATGGTATGTTCTAAAGGTTCTAAAATCTTAGCGGTTGATTAGATGGCAATGTCTTTATCCATGTTCTGATTAAATTGTATCAATCATTTGGTGAGTAAATATTGGTTTTATTTCCCACGTGACTCAATAATGGCAAAACCTGAATAATGGCAAATAGCTATGTCTACTTACCAAAAATTTTATTTGAATTGACTCATCACTTTATACAAGTTTCAATGAACTTAAGATGGTTTTATTGTTCCCGCTTGGCTGGTAAACGTATCTGAATATATCATTTTTTAAAGTTTGTAGCATAAGCCTTGATGTACTTCATTTCAAACTAAATTTCTTAATATCCATGAGACCCAAGTAATTGATTAATCCGAAATCTTAACTACAGTCAGAACATGTATGTTACAGTGTGGACAAATTTATTCAGTATTATGTGTGGTCTTACTATTGAGCTTTTTAATGATGTAAATCTTCATTGATCTCGAAAGTTATTATAAATACAAAATATTACAATTATACTAAGAACTCTGATACTACAATTTCTTAAAGAAGTGGAGTTAGTCGATATGTACATATAGATCGATGGTTCCAAATTTCACAATTAAGTTTTATGTTTTGTAGAAAAATATTCTAGAAGGATAAAACTAGATTTTTGTTATCTATTCTATTATTCTTATCATACAGTTTTTGCAGAAATTGTTTGATTAGCAGAGATTCTTATTATTATGGAATTCTATATTTTTTTTTAAATATGTACATTAATAATTTTTGTCAATAGTCATTTTATGAGATGAATCATTTTTCTTTATATAATTCGGATTTCATACAGCTAATTACTTCTTTTCTCATTCTTATGAAATTTAATTTTTTTTTAAATATGTACACAAATAATTTTTGTCAATAGTCATTTTATGAGATGAATCATTTTTCTTTGTATGATTCGTATTTTATACAGCTAATTACTTTTTTTCTTATTCTTATTATTATGGAATTCTATATTTTTTTAAAATATGCACACAAATAATTTTTGTCAATAGTCATTTTATGAAATGAATCATTTTTCTTAGAATAATTGAATATTCCGCATTTTATACTGCTAATTACTTGGCAATTATAAGGCTTAGTTATTAAAAATAATGAATTTCGAATTTATTAAATATTGCCGTTTTTAAACGCCAAACATAATTCGTATAAATATAACAAAGGTGGGAAAGCTTGTGGAATTTATAAATTTGTAATACTGAAACGATTTAACAATTACAGGCATGTATGAATATAAACATTTCATACCCATTTGTTTTATGTGCCTAAAATAGTGAGTTATTCCATGCTAAAATTGATTTTAAGTAGGGATATTAGGGCAAATTAAGGAATATTAGGACAGTAGCAACGATCTGATATATTTTAGTTAATGATATCTATTTTCACTTGAAAATAACGTTAAAAGTTATGGTTTCAAATGAAATAATATGTTCGGTCATTCCTTCGCTAATTGTTTTGAAACAGAAACGGGAAATCTTACACAACTTGAATCTAGTTGGATTTTAACTAGATTTTTATTGTTAGTTTTACTATAATAGAAATACTAAATTATTAACCCACCATATTAGACAAAGAATTACAATATATCAGAAGTGATTATTTATATGATTATATGATATGATCAATTCACACTTTCGTTTAATTTGAATATTTGATATAGGATTGTATATTGAAAGGATTTAATTTTTCTTCCATATATGTTTCGGATTTTATACAGATGATTTCTTGATAATATAGTTTGCTTCTATAGTAAATGAGTTTGAAATTCAATCAATATTACTGATTATATAGATATAGATGGAGAAATCATGCGGATTTTTTTATTTACAATAACGATTGAATGAAGGCTTGTTCAAAATATTTTTATAATTAATTGAAATGATATTGTTAACTCGGGTAATTCTTACCAATGACTTTATACTTTATCCAAATAATATTTGCTCTTGCAGGCAGCTTTTCAAACATGTTTTTTTATATTTATAAAATAAATATAAAGATAAAATGAAGAATTGTTCCCTTCGCAATCAATATTTTTTTCATAGCTACATTTTTTTGTACATTATCATTTTTTTGTACATTATCATACCATCAATCGCGTTCATGAGTTTCAATCGCTTAGTTATTAGTTTAGCAGTTGCTCAATGTTGTTTTAAATGAAATCACCAAAACTTATATATGTCTTTGTTTTTATGTTTTTGAGATCATGATATTAATAAATGTTTGAGAAATTTTGAGCATGTGTTGTGTTAACATGGTTTTAGAATTTTCGTTCACGTTTTCGTTAACTCATTTTGTTATGATACACACTGTACATAAAATTATCAGTAGACATTTGATTTTAATAAAAAAAAACAAGTTTTATACTTGCTTTTGTATCATATATCGATTTGAATCAATCAGTAAATACATCATAGTGATATGATTTTATAGAACGAATATTAGTTTTTTTTATGTTTAATTTTGTGTTTGCGCATGTTTGTACTGAGCTGATGTATGCTTCGTGTGCTTTATGTAGAATTAATATAAATTTTTTTTCAGCAATATTCTGGTATGTGCAAAAAGACTTTATTATGATAGTAAATGTTGCAATATAAAATTTTTATTATTTTTTTTTTAAGATTCAATTGTAAACAATCAGTTTTTGGAAACTATTTATAAATGTTTTGTTCAAAATTATGGAGATCTTTTTCTAGTGCTCCTTTGTTTCTTACAATATTTTTTTTTCTCATTTTGCATACCTTTTGGTAATGAAATTACTATTAAAATTATATAATTAAACTTATTTTTCTATTCATAATTAATTTTCGACCAGGCCCCGTCGGTATGGCGGCCGCAGCAGCTATAGCTTCAGCTAAAAAGAGAAAAAGGCCGCATTCATTTGAAACAAATCCGTCTATACGAAAAAGGCAGCAGAACAGATTACTTCGAAAACTTAGGGTACGTAAGATTTATTCACATCTAAATTCATTTTAATAAGATCTGTGTCCATAAATCCCCGCTATTGACAGTGTTAAATTAAGGGGTAAGCCTGCTTTAGAGGCTTTAAAAAATCGTTTTTTTTTGAGAAAAGAAATAAATATTTTATTCAGGTTTTATTGTTATATATTTCAACATTCTTTTCAAATTTTTTCATTAAAACGGTCAACAAATGAAATAACGTAATAAAATTAATCAACAAGAATTGATATTCACCTATTTATGTAAAATGTGTTCGACTCTTATTTCGAAAATAATATTTTTGCCTTCATTAAAAAGTAATCAGAGCTATTTCCTATTGATGTTTCTCAAACATTCTTATAATATCTGTAATGTAAATTTTTTTTTTACAAACTTTATTTCATCTATTCCGTGTTCTAAATTTGCATTTTCATTCAAATGTGGACCTAAGCTGTAACAGTAGCTAATCTGTGGTGTTTGTACCTACTGATTACAGTTTATGCCATACTTTAAAAAAAAATATTATGGCTAGTTTTAACCATTATATTCTTTTATAGTTATACTCTTTTCTTATCTATGGTTTCAACAATCAGATTACAATATAATCTATAAGTTAAGAGTAAGATACTTTTAACGTTTACGCCATACTTAATATACATTTTTAAAACCTGAAAAGGATGAAATGAAATCTACCTATTAAACACAGAACGTATATAATGTTGAAAAAATATTGTTTGACGATTTTGACGAAACTTTATATAACGATAGATTTCGTAGTCTGAAATAACATGCTAAAATATTGGAGACTTACGTTAAGCGGTTGAAATGTAAAAAATCATGAAAGTTCAGAAATTCAATATAAGCTTGAGCGATTCTAATCAGAATTATTGTGATGTTTTGTTGGCACCTACTGATTACAGTTTACGCCATACTTAATCGCTGTTACGCCAGAATACATCTTTAAAATGGATGAAATGAAATGTGTTAAGCAAATTAAGTTAATTTATACAATTGCAGATATAATTGGTATATTTCAAAAATATCAATTGAAAAATCATTTTTAATGAAAGAGAAATCCTTATATTATAAATAAACAGTTGAACATTTGTATAAATAGCTAATTCTAAATTTTTTAAATCTTATTGATAAAGTCGATTATTTACACGTATCGAGAAGTTCGTGCAACATGCACAACAAAATTAGAATTAGTTTTCAGTAAACACAGTGTGATTTGAGCGGCGGTAGCAATCTGAAATCCACGAATTTGCCTCCAGCGCTGTGACATCCATGTGGAATCTATGTGGATTTCAGATTGCCACAGCCGCTCGGTGTTTACTGGGCTATTTTTTTGATTGAACAAAAAAAGTTTGATTATCAAATTTTTACATTAATAAGTATAATAGATGTGTTTTTTCATTTATTTTATTTTTATTATCAGCAAACGATAGACGAATTTGCAACTAGAGTTGGCCAACAAGCTGTAGTTCTGGTCGCTACTCCGGGTAAAACGAACATTTCGTACAAAGTATTTGGTGCTAAACCTTTAGAAGATGTAGTTAAGAATTTGCGTACTGTTATAATGGACGAGCTGGAATCTGCGCTGGCGCAGCAAGCTCCTCCTCCAATTCAGGACGACCCATCATTGTTTGAGCTGCCGCCGTTGATTATTGATGGTATTCCAACACCTGTTGAGAAAATGACTCAGGCACAATTGCGTGCGTTTATACCTCTTATGTTGAAATATTCTACAGGTATGATACATTTGTATGTTTTATTAATTGTTTAATACAAAAACATTACGTGACTGACATTAACTTCTGTTTATGTATAGTTGTCTATATATTGTATCGGTTTTATCATAAAGTTTAAAATAGTATCTATTTGTTGTAGATTTCTGAAGTTTTTTTTTTAAGATTGCTGTATCAAAAATTGCCATTATCATTTAATTTAGCTACATTATATGTTGTTTTTTTAACTTTACAAATGACTCACTGCAATTTTTCACAAATGATTAATCAAGTTTGTGTATTCGTAGTGAAAGTAAAAGTAGGTATATTATTTACAATTGTAAATTAATTGAACTTATGGAGAAAGTATTTTATTCAATTACTTAAATAATTATATAAATCAACAAAGTAGCGATTTAATAACAACGTTTTATGTTATTTTATAATGATATTTATTATTGCGGCTTTCAAATTTCAGGAAGAGGTAAACCTGGTTGGGGTAGAGAGTCAACACGACCGCCCTGGTGGCCAAAAGAACTACCATGGGCAAATGTTAGAATGGATGCAAGAACAGAAGATGAAAAACAAAAGGTAATTAAAATATAAGTGAGTACAATAAGCTTTTGATACAGACTACAAAACAACTAGTTAATAAATTTTTTATAACACAACTTGATGTTTGATATTGAAAGTCTTGCCAATGGATAATTTTTTAATATGAGTTTTGCAACATTAAGATTCACAATGATATTACAAATTAGAGATTTTTTTCATTATTCAAGCTAAATAATTAAGTTTAAAGATTCCATATTTAATTATATTGCAATTTTTACCATGAATAAAATTATCTGTTACTGTAGTTTAATTGTAAAGAGTTATTGTCATTACGCAATGACTCAATATATTTAAACTGAACGATGTATATTTGAGAAAAAGTGCCGTGAATTACAGATTTCTTGGACGCATGCACTCAGACAAATTGTCATCAATTGTTATAAGTTTCATGGTCGAGAAGATCTACTTCCCGCTTTTTGTGAGGAGGATGAAAAAGCAAATGCTACTGCTACCGCAAACAGTTCAGTTAGTTCAAATGTATGTATTGAATTTCTATTTTTGATTTTGACTAAAATATTTTTCAAAAAAGGGTTTTGCATGTTGAATATTTATGGGATGGACTTGAATAATAATTAAATTTCAATAACAATTAAATTATATTTATGTACTGTGCAAGTCGATTGATGATATGATAAGGGAAAAGTTTGATTACAATAATTTCTAAAATATTTTTGTTTTTAACTACATTTCATAACTTTTCAAATTCAATATACAATTTATTAAATAATTTCATCATCATGTTTTCTTATGATAAATGTGTGTGCCACTCTGTCATCTTTCTTAATATTTTGAAGCATATTATTTCATAACTTCTCAAATAATAATTGATAATTATTACTTTACAAGTCTTACGTTACAACATAATTACTAATTATCTTAAATTAAAATTAATTTAAATTAAATTAATTTAAACAATAATAGAAATTAGGAATGATAAAAGTTTCTATAGGCCTAATTATTAATTAGGCTTATGAAAACTTATATATTTCTTAATTTCTATTATCATTTAATTTAGCAACATTATACTACTTTTAACTTTTACAAAAGACCTATCATAATTTTATATCAGTTATTATTAAAATTTTGTACTTTTTAGCTTTCAATATTGGCATCATCACTTTTATTAATTTCTTTATTATAATATTAATAATTTGGGTATAATACTTAATAACTAACTAGAAATAGAAAAATAATTAGCATACATCGTAAAGCAAATGTTTAGTTGATAGGAATTAGATTTATGCAAATTGTTGAGTTTTTTTTTTTTTTGAAACGAGATATCAATAATGCTGTGGTTCACGCAGTTTTATTAGTCACACATTGATTATTATAATCACTGATGCAAAATTAATTTATATTGGCACATTTAGCATTTGATTTTGTTTCTATTGAAGCACTAATCTGTGATAAAGCTTGAGTCTCAATTTGCTCATTAGCATTAGAAAACAGATTTCATTAGTAATATTTTAAACATTTTCTTTGTAACTTTGATTGTTTTGTTTATGTAAATTCCATACAATGCAAATTTTTTGAATTGTTTGCAAAAGTTTGCAGTGCTAGTTGATTGTGACTCAATCTTTATTATATTAGTTGCTTATACTTTTACCATTGTAACCATTGTACCATAATTCATTTACTATGCTGCCACCTTCTGTGCCACCAAATTCAAATAACGCACTTCGCTTTCGCGTCGGCATCGGATCATGCAGGTCGGAGTGCTGAAACTGCACACATCAATGATCAGTCACGGGCACGATCCTGATGCCGATTCTCCTAAGTTGGGTCGGGCGTCACCGCAGCAGGTGGTCATGTCTGCAGGGTCGCCAACAGATACCGGCGACAATTCGGGCGCGCACCAGAGCGCTACCGGACATCAAGTCTGTCTGGACACAATGACGCTCAGCGATTGCGACGTGTGTAGCTTTTGTGCCCGTCGTATGTGTTGTGTCGTGTCATGCCCGCATCCTTTGCTCTGTAGTACTCTGGTACACATGGATAGTGCAAGTGAAAAACAAAAAATTAATAGACTGCAATTTAATAATCTTTCTCAATAGTCAACCCTCCGATAACGCGGTACTCTGGTAAGGCGTTTTCCATATTACGTGACGCTGAAATTGAAGGGGCGCGGTGCAAAAAAGGTTGGAAACCACTGGTTTATATAAAGATATATAATGAAAAATTTAATTGGATTGGATTGGATTTTATGTGAATTCTTCATTCCAATTTAATTTTTCTCTATATATCTTTATATAAATCAGTGGTTTTCAACCTTTCTTGCACCGCGCACCTCTGCTCTAATAAAAAAATTAGTTGCGTGCCTGAATTTTTTCAACAATTTAATTGTAAAAATACTCAACTGATATTATTAGTCTACAAATTAATATGCAATATGTAAAAATATGCATAAAAACTAATTATTTTTTGTTTATTTTTAATATCATTTCAAAAGTTTTGGGTTATTTTCGAAAATAGTATTCTGAAAACTTATGTACGGGCTTCCCTTAGAACAACCTGTCGGCACACAGGTTGGAAACCGCTGATATAATCTTTGATTCCAAAAAACAGTTTATATAATTTATCAAGTCTTATTGATTGGCCTCCATATACCCCAGTACAAATGCTGTATTTTGTTTTACAATTATAATTACCATTTTCTTATAGCACGGTTTTCATATAACGCGGTATTCGGTTCACATAGAACGCGCTATAAATTAGCCTAGATGAGTGTTAAATCCGCGTTTTTTATAGCACGGTTTTCATATTACACACCGCCTTATTCCGAGAGTTGACTATACCAATACCATAGTAACTGGCAAATCACTTTGTTTTTACTATTAGTTTTAAATTTTTGCGATTCTTAATAATTGATTATTAAAATTCAAGTTATTCATAATCTTAATTAAAATTACTTTCATATTAATTTCAAACAAACACGAAAATAACCTAGATTTTTTTAAATGTTTTAACATGAGTAATAATTGAAATTATTTATATTGATTTTTCCATCTAATATTTAACATTTGTCTCAATTTTTTGCAGCTTTTATTTTTATTATATTTACTTATTAATTATTTTAAAGATAAATTGTTACAATGGCATCTTTTTTTTTCTTTTCACTTGCACTTTACCATGTTAAACAAACTGTACCATATGTGTTGTTAATGCAGTTTGAAATGGATTTTTTTTCCTAATAATTAATTGTTGCATGCTGACACATTAGTTTAATTATTATGAATCTATGAAATGTTTATAAAGTTCAAGAGCGGAATACTATACTACATTTTACAGTATAAAATATACTACATTTTACAGTGTAAAATGAAGAAATTGAAATTTTTAAACCTGGATAATTAACGCACTAAAGTTTTCAAGTTATTTTAGCTTAATTAAAAAAAAAATAAGAATAGTTCTGTCGTAGTACAGGATGATTTTGCAATGCTTCGAACATATTTTACCTTGAACAAGTACTTAAAGATAATTCCACATATTTTACATGTGTGTAATGAATTGCTTGAAGTTAAGATATAATAATCTATACTTTAACTAATTTACAGTTAGGATTAAATTACAGTTAATATACCATGTACCTCATATTTTATTCACTGAATTCTATCTTATATCACCTGAATCCTATCTTATAATCACCTGCATATTTATTGTTAATACTTATTTCATATACATATATTTTTCTGTTGCGACACATTTCATATTTTAATTTCAATAGTTTGCTGCTTTGCCATAGGTTAGAAAATTAAAATATATAAATTATGTTTATTCAAATGTTATATAAGTACTGAAAAGAACATTTGGTTCATCATAATTATATATTTCGGATAGTACATGTTAGCCACTATTTGCAATACAAAATATTAGAACAATAATAACTAGTTGTAGCATAAACTCCAAAATTTATTTTTTATTGAGTTATATAAATTATTTGCAACATTAAGTTTAATTAGTTTTAATTTTCTGCACATCCTGATTTTTCCAAAACCATCATCATGAATACTTCTTTTATTGATAGATTATTTATATTAGCCCATGTTCTGCAATATGTTTTCATATATTTTTTATTTTTGTAGCTTAATGTATCTAATATTTAATTTGTTTCAGAGAGCAAGTAGAATTATGCAGACCTCCTATATGTCTTTATATTATTTGTTGTTTTTTTTGCTTGATGTTTCAATGGATGTAATTGTGTGGTAAATTGTTAATTTACAATAGTAATTATTTTCAGATATCACAATACGCACCTGCTGTTTTGCAAACCATAACAAATCCTGATGGAACAGTTTCAATAATTCAGATGGACCCTAATCAAACACCAATTATTACTTTACCCGATGGAACGACAGCTCAAGTACAAGGACTAGCAACAGTAAATATGTCATGCTTTTTATGAATAATAACTTCATTTTAATAGTTCTTTTTTCATTAATCAGAATCATAAAATGATTGTTTAATGTTATATTTAGTTAATATAACTCAAAATTTTGTATTTTAGTTACATACTGGCCAAGGAGAAGGCACGACAGTACATACTGTGCAGACTCTAACCGATGCGCAAGGTGAAGGAATGACTGTGGATTTAAATGCAGTTACTGAAGCTAGTATAAATCAAGATGGTCAGATTATTTTAACAAGTGAAGATGGACATGGTAAGCAATTCAAAACAATATCTATTTAGGATAAGTTAATAATAGGCAGCATTGGCTTCAGGACGCGTAGTTCCGTTTGTATATTATTAATACTTATTTAATTTTAATCACTAATAAATACATATTGATTTTCAATCTTACAGACTAAGACTAGACTTTATTTTTTTTTTTAATTTTTGTTGTTTTAAAATTTCAATCATATATCATTGATTCAACGTTTCTGGATTTATTTAGGAACTATTGTTAACAATTTAATTCAACAGTTCTCTATTTATTATGAATTTATACACTTATTTCATTATTATAAAATTTAAAGAATTTTTTTTTAATGTTTGATCAATTCAATTCAAATTCAGTCATTAATTAAGAAGTGAATTATTTAAATTATATAATAAATAAATAAGTGCATAAATATACCATAAAAAAATATATCAATGTTATCAATAATTTTTGAAGAAGGATATATTCCGCAGTCCGAAACGTATAAAATTTGAAATAAATAAAATAATTTGAGGAAAAAAAGGGTTTTAGTTCAGACGTTTGAACCATAACATTATCATTTTAATTTAAAAACTCTATAATATAACAATAATATTTTTAATTTTTGATTGAAAATTTTTAGCCTGCTGATAGACAAAACCGGTTCTATCAATATAATATTGATTTTGATTACTAATTTTTCTATTAGACGTATGGGCTGCAATAGTATATTCAATTTATATCAATGTCGAAGTAACCATCTATATATATATATATACGAGGTCTGTTCAAAAAGTACCCGGAATTTTTGTTTTTTCAAAAAAATATTTATTTATTCGTCTACATTAATGTGGTCCCCTTCAAAGTAGTCCCCCCCAGATATAATACACTTATGCCAGCGTTTTTTCCAATTTTCGAAGCACCCTTGATATTCACTTTTTGATATGTCCTTGAGCACTCTCAGCGATTTTCTTCAATCGAGGAAAACCGCCGTCCTTTCATGGGTCTCTTCAACTTTGGGAATAGGAAAAAGTTACACGGAGCCATATCTGGTGAATTTTTGCACTTTGCAACACTTTATTTCATTTTTTACGCAAAATTTAATACAAATTCTTTGACTTTTCAATTCTTCCATTGTAAAAATCGCCGAGCTCAGAAAAACACGTCGAACCTTAGCGACTACCACAGACAAAGTAAACAGTGAATATAGCTGAAAATTTCATCATACTTTAGGGGCATGTATACCAACACAATAAAAAAAAAATTTTGACAATCAGACACTCCAGACCCGCGAAATTTAATTATTAGTAATTCCGGGTACTTTTTGAACACACACGTATATATATATATATATATTAACAGTTTAGTAATCGGGCATAACATCAATAAAAACCATGAATTTCTTTCAAAAAATTATTTTTACACCCATACGTTTTGGATATAATCCTAGCCTTCATTCAGTGGAAACTAAAAATAAATAAATAAATAATAAAAAATTATAAAGAGTAAAAAGTACTTAAAATTAGTTAATCTTAGTTTGGATTAGGATATTGTATTGAACTATACTATGTAAAATAAACTGGTTGAAGACATAATGGAGAAAAGATTGTTTAAAAATATTTTTACCAAGATTCTACAGATGTGTGGAAGTAATTGCGAATCCTTTGCGCGACATTTTACTTGTTTTGTGAGAAATTTGGAAATACTATCTAAATAAGAGATTTGAGTCGCACAGCGTGTTGAGGTTATTTTGTTTATTTATTGTTCTATTGTTATAAATAGTCAAAAAAGACCCTTCTATTATTCTTTGTTGAAATAAATTTTGTTTGAATTGTAGTACAGTCGGATTAGAAAAGTGTATATTGTGTTTTAAAGTATTAATGTGGTCGGCAAGCATAGTTTTAAATTGTCTGGGATTTTTCGAATTGCAAAATTTGAAACTATGCTTGCGATTGATAGAAATTCGTGTTTTTTTATTGATGTTATGCCCGATTACTAGAATTTGTTAATACATATGTCAACATCAAATTCAGAATCATACAATATATATATATATATATATATATTATATATATATATATATATATATAATATATATAATATAATATAATATATTATTATATAATATAATATGCTGCACACTGTTAAATACTAATTATTATTATTATTACAGAATACCCGATTTCCGTAAGCGGCGTGATAACAGTTCCTGTTTCTGCAGGGATGTATCAGACAATGGTTGCTAACATTCAGCAGCTGCAGACCAATAGTGATGGCACGGTGTGCATGACGCCAATGGTTCAGGTACCAAAGGGTTGTCGAGTCATTCAATTGGCCCGATCAAGTGGGGCAATAGTTGGCAACAATTCTTCTATTACTAGCATCGCCCCTGATGCTAATAGAAGCGCTAATGCGGTTATAGGCCCCCCTGAAAGTGGTGTTGCAGTCCCTTTACGGCTGCAAACTCCTAATTTCAGTACCAATATAAATCCTGTTAAAATTGAATATGAATCCGAACAGGCTATATTGAGTTGATAAACCACTTGCCATTAAATGCATGATTCCGGGTATCGAAATAATATTTCATATACATAAAGAAACTTTATTTTTTGAATCTAACTGGAAAAAAGTATATTCTATTTTTATAGAACAATTATGATGTTACAGCAGAATAGTCATATAAAATATGCTATTACTGCTATACTTTGTTTCTATTATTAATAGCTTTATTTTTTTTTCTCATATTTTGATAGAAAACTTTTTATAAAAATCATATTTTTTAGGTTCTATTTTTTATAAGTTACTTACCGTTGTTGACGATCTGAGATTTGTTCAGAATATTTTGTAATTTATGAAGAAAATATAATTGGTTTTGTGTATGAAAGATGCCAAATTTAATTATGAATTTATACTGATTTTGACATTCGCAAATATTGTGCAATTTTATAATAGAGTATGCTATTAATATCTATAATGTATTCTCAATTTATTCGTGTATTTCCATACCTGGTCTCATCATCCGGCCAATGAGGCTTAAAATAACATAGTCTTGTTTCTTTAAAATATTTATTTTATCTCAAAGTATATTTTTATACTATGTTAAATAGTATTAAACCTAAGGCCAGCTTACATCAAATTCATTTTATTTATACAGAATTTATTTAGTCGTTAATAGAGAACATATTAGTCATTATGAATATTTGAGCAGTGCGCCAAATAATAATTAGATATATTTTATTCAATAAATGTACAATAGATATTGTATGAATCTGTGTACTTTGTTGTCATATTACATTTAGTTCTTTAAGCAACATAAAAGTTAATTATTAATTGATTTATGAAAAATGAATTATGAATTAGAATTGATTTATATATTTGTTAGTAATATTTTTTCTAAGAACCATATTTGCCCACCGATTCAGTAATGGTTTCTTTCACATCAATTTAATTCTTTAATTTAATTTCATTTTATTTTTGTTATGAATGTTGTTTATGTTTAATTTAATGTGTAGTTATATTTGTGTTGTAGTATGATATGTCTAAAAATATCACAATAATATGCACTAGTGTTCAAAGTTTTACGTGTACAGTATATTTTCTTTAAAATATTTCATTATGACAGGTGCACTTTAGTACATCTTAACGATCAGCGTCTTTGACAGTATAGTGACTATTTAAAAATCATATAAAGTTTTAAGAATCTACAAATTTGTTTTTAAGCTTTAATAAATTTATATTATATTTATAAAATATAATTATTATATATTTTATTTTTGTTTTAATATATTAGACAATTTATTGATGTAATTTTTATGTTAATTCTTTTTTCTTTTTTCAGAAAGTACCGCATGAATTTATTACTATTTACTATGCATGTGATTTTCTTTTTATATTACAATTTGTATATCAATTTTTTTTTAATTTTTAGTTTTTATTGGTTTTCAAGAGAAATTAAGTATTCAAGCTTTTTGGTAGGTATGTATACATTTTTTTTATTTATTTTTAAATAATTTTTATAATTTCTTACGTATTTAAAAAAAACATGAACATGAATTATGATGTATAAAATGACTGTTACTTATTTTTGTAATTAACTAAGTAAACTGTTTGATGCAGGTGGACCAAAATGGTGAAGCAATGGAGACATTAACTGTCGGCCCTGGAATGCATCAGATGATGATACAAGGTCCACCAGGAACTGAACCTCAGGTAACATTATATATATATATATATAATATATAGATTATATATAGATATATATATATATATATATATATATATATATATATATATATATATAGATTTGATACGTCTCCTAAACGGTTATTCAGATTTTGATAATTATTTTTAGAGTTTGTCAAAGGAAATGTTTAAGATTCAATGAACGATAAAGCTATAGTAATATTGTAGAAATAAATGGCAAAATTTTGCTTTACTTTACTAAATTATTTAACAACATAAAAAAATATTTCTTCTTATAAAAAAAAAAAAAAACGATTTAGAATTTTGTTTCATGTGTCAAAAATTTATGTGTTTGGCATTGGATATGGAATATTTACTTAGCAAGTCGATTTTAGATTGAAGAGTGTTCATATGAACTAGATTTTACAAATTAATTCGCCTAAGATTTGAACATAAACAATAATATTTTTAAATTATTAGTAAGAAAAATGTACTTTAGAAATTATAATTGCCAAAAAGCAACTAATATATCGTATGAGATGACGAAAATTATAGACTAAACTATTAAAGCAATTATGTTGTGTGGTAAAATCAAGTGTAATATTCTCCTTTTACTGCAGATACTATATTATTTTTTTCTGAATTTCTTGTACTGCATATGATGGATGAAATGAATGAAGGCAGGATATTAAAAAGTATAGGATAGGATAAAAAATTTGGCGCTTTTGAATTGTAGACATGGGTAAAGGACAACGTATATATAAATTCTTGGAGGGACATAGCATCAAGTAGATTAATAGATTGTAAAGATTTTACAACATATTTATTATTCCGTACGTTTTGCCTTAAAATTCAGCGTCATAAGTGGTTATGAATTTTTTTATAATTAATCAAACGTGCGATAATGGTACGAAAATAGTTATAAAAGTACATATATAAAAAAATTTAATATTGAAATTTATTTGCAAACGAATGTTTATGTGTGCATGTGTAATTTTTCAGGTTTTGCAAGTACTGTCCCTCAAAGATGCAACAGTACTGACAAAAGCAATGAATGCAATGACTGAAGTAAAATCAGAGGAAACAATATTAGGAGATTTGTAGTGCAATATTAAACTAAATGAAATTCTTGTGCATAATCGTATTTACCTACGGACCTGTATTTATTATTAGTGTAATTTATAAGATTGTATTTATTTGATGATGTGCACAAGTGAATCGATATAATGTAATTTTATAGTTATTTATATTTAGGTTATTTATGGAAAAACAGTGTTTAAAACAATTGTATGATGAAAGCAAATTTATTTATTTTAGATGGAATTGGTAATATAATTAGTTAAATCTATTGTCTAAATGTTGTGTATTTAACATAATTTTTTGATCAATATCATGTTAGACTTGAACAGTGGACATATAACTTTGTTAATGAATGTGCAAGTTATAAATATAATTTTCTGAACAAGAAGATCAAAGATTTTTTCTAACATTTATTTCCATAGTTACGATTTCTCTAGTAATCAATATCAATTTTATTCATAAAATTTTGAAGAAATTAATAAACATCTAAAAAATTGAGGTAAATCTAGCGAAAGTGAAAAATCAACGTTTTCGAATTTTGTTTCTTACGTTTTGCCATTTGAAAACCCCAAGGTACCATATACTATTAGTATAGACAACACTAGGCATTGATGAGGACTCTATCGTATACGAAAGGTAACTTAGAGACTTAGAGACACGAAGATACCCAAACAAACTTTAGGAAACACGCTGGTTGGATCGACACTCTCCCTGGACAATCTCTTAACAGCCAGCGGTGATACAAGAAGTTTAACAAAATATTCATTACTTATTTTTCATGCATTCATATATCATGATTTTACAAATTGTGAACTACACTTAATGAATCTAAATCATTGTTTAGAAGTCTAAAAACACTTTAAGACTTATTTATTACATTACTTTTTAAATTGAATAAAAAGTAGTATTGTGACTCGCAATAACAAGAATCGTGCGTTTTGTAACCAACTAGGCGTAATTTAAATGATGACTTTTGTGAAGAAAATTTCGGGGAATACCCTATTTGTATCAATTGAAGCTTGCTGTCATTCTGTTAATATTTGGTTATTTTGGATATATAAAATGTATTAATTATTTGAATGTATTATTTTTTATAAAAGGATTTTAAAAATACATATAAATATATTTATTATAATAATAATTATACTTTACAATGTCAAATAAAGAATTGGGTATGTATGCATAATTCACAGTATTACCAAATTATGCAGATGAGCTTTTATCTATGTTTACAATTTAATCATGAAATTTATCTTTTTAGATTTTGACAAATATTTAGATCAATTAAGACGTACAAGTATTTCATCGGAAGACAGAAAAATCAAAGAAGTGTTTGGTGATTTATTTGCTTGTCCTGATGAATACTCACTAGCACATTGCGTTGCAGAAGACTTATCAATGGGAAAGGGAATTGCCAAAGCTTTTAAGTATATAAATATTATATATATATATATATATATATATTTATTTATTTATTTATTCTATTCTTTTATGTAGAAGCAAATTTAAGGAAGTGGAGAGCTTGAAAGGCCAACGAAGAAAAGCTGGAGGTGTGGCAACTCTTGAAGTAGGCGATAAAAGATTTATTTATTATTTAGTCACCAAAAAAGAAAGCACAGGTAACGAAGTTTTTTCTGCTTTATCATCATATAATCATTTCTAGTTTAGTGGGCAATGTACATTTGATTGATTTTTTGATATTTATATTTTGGTAGTATACATATGTATACATTCTCTGAATTCATAGCTTGAAGTACATAATATATTTATTCATACAGACACGTAGTTCATACTCATAGTATATTTTTTTCTCAATATAATCGATTATATTGCTGAAAGTTAATATATATAGATCTATATAATATATTTATATTAACTTTCAGCTTATAGAGTTTATGTAACATTTTAATGAACATTTTCAACAGATTCTCATAGTAAAGTTTAGCATATAATATTTTAAGTTGTTCCTCGAATATAATATATAAGTCTTCGAATAACATGAGAACAATAATATTGATAATGGGATAACAGTAATCTTGAGCCTAATTTTATATTGTCCATGTTATATGCCCACATGCAATTAAAATATAATAATAAAATCTCTGAGCACAAAAAATAATTTAAATACATTTGAAATTTGAGGTATGCATGCCAAAAGACCAAAAATAGAGAATTAAATATATATTGTGCATGCAATTAGCAAATATATATATATATATCAGGCAGTGTATTTTTTGCTATTTCAAACATTTTTATTTTAGCAAAACCTACATACAGCAGTTTACATAAATCCATTACTGGAATGAAGGAACATATGGTGGAAAATGATATAAAAAAATTAGCTATGCCACGAATTGGTTGTGGATTAGATAGGCTGGAATGGAGGGATGTCTCTCTCATACTAGAAGATATATTCAAAGATGTTACGTGTGACATAGTTGTTTATAATAATCGGGAGGTAGGTTTGAATTGGGTTTATTTCCTAATTTATATCATTTAATTTATGGTATCATATTAAGAAAAGATAAAAGGACTGAAAAATAAAATTATAATTTTATTTTTCAGTCCTTATTATTGATAATTATTCTTATATGATAAATTATTTGTGATATAACTATTTTGTTATCAGAAACAATTAATACTATATTATATTATATTACAGTTTGAAAACAAAAAAAGTGATAAACCAAACCAAAAAAAAGGGAAAAAGGACAATAAATCAAAAAAGCGATGACACACTGAGTTTATATAGATTTTTTTATTAAATACTGAATATTAAGTATAAAATACTGGTATGTACTACAGATCAATTACAAACCAATCATAATTGTAATTTGTTTATTATGCTCTATAATTAGGTAGGTACAAAAATATAATAACTAAATTTATATTTTCTTAAGAGGGCGAATGCGCCAAGCCATTAGATACTGGTTCACAAATAAGTACTTTTTTATCTTCTCAGTTATCCAAAATATTGTTATCGCTGTACATAAATATTGAACTAAAGCCCATTTCAAGGTATTCCAAAAACTATTCATGAAATTAATTTGACTAATTGGCACATGCAATGAAAAATTTAGTTCAAATTCATCTCTTATTTCATTTATCCATGTATTAGAAGTGTCTATCAATTTCAAATTGACTGAAACAAATGTAGAAGCATAAATATAGATTATTCCAGTTTGAGAATATAATTGTACTCAGTTGAACTTACTTTCGTTTCTGTTTAATGTCTCCAACAATTGATGCATTTTATGATCTTGTACTATATTTTCAATAAAGGCTAAATTTTCAATATTGTTATTCTTATGTTCAATTTTACCCTTCAAACAATCATATGGTTCATTTTGTTGTATGATCATATTAGATTCACAATAGAAAGAACCTCCTTCAAATGGATATGGGGGAATTATTTGGTTAAGAAATATTACACCCTGTTGTTTGAGTACACAAGTTGCCTAAAATATTTTAGTTGAAATAATAATGTTTAAGTAATTTTTTTTATTGGTTATTATATAAATTAACTTACATATGTTTGCACATCAAATAATAATATTAAGCTCACAGCATTGATGTTATTCAGAGAGTTTAAATTCATTTTGAACTTAAAATCGTATTTATCTATAATTCCATCAGAATTTGTATCTTCCTCTGTATACTGAAAAAAAATGGATTTGTGATAATAATTAAAGCACACACACACACACACACACATATATATATATATATATATATATATATACAGTGGCGTCGGAACCGTGTGGGCTGTGTGGGCTTGAGCCCACCCATGAATTTTGATGGGGGGGCTCAGCCCACCCATCAATTTCAAAAAATTATATGGGGCTAATAACTCTAAAAAAAAAACGAGACCACTGGCTGCCTATCTAAAAAAAAAAAAAACGAGCCCACCCATCAAAAATTTTGTTCCGACGCCACTGTATATATATATATATATATATATATATATATATATATATATATATATATATATATGTTATATATTAGATATGTCAAATAAAGTATTTCCAATAAATTACTTACTCTGTTGGTGTTATATAACTTTGTACAAATAATACAATTATGAATTATATTTATTATTAATTATTACTTACTGAGAATGATTTACATTCTAAAGAATTCATTTCAGAGTTATTCAGAGGCAGCGAAGAACATATCAAAGGATTGTTCTCAAGGGTCTCAGCTACTAGAAGATACTGATTGGTATATGTAACTTGTGGTTGTTCAAAAATTATTCTATGCGTTTTCCATATATCTGCAAAAGCCATGTAAGTATGTTCAATAAGTTTTATGTTATGTAATTTAACAAACAAACCTTCAGTTTTGTATGCTATTATAAACGGGATGATTAATGCCACACACGTAATCAGGAAGACAGATATGCTAGCCTTTGATATAAGTTTATTTTTATAAATAGTTTCTTCACAATGTGAGAATACTGTTATGAGACCCATATTTACACTGAATTGGTAAAATTTGAAAGATTAAATGTTTGTTGGTAAACAAGCGGTTACTAGGCAACAGATATGTAAACAGTTATCAAAATCTCAATGATTTGAAAATAATAATTTAACTAGTTCTAGGGTGGTAGGGTGGCAGGGTGGCTATCATTCTAAGTTCTAAAATATTCTTCTTCTGGAAGATAAAAATAAACAAGTTTCTACCTCATACAATGATGCATAGACATTAGTTTATTAGCAATACAATATCATAGTTTAACTTCATTTATTTACAATACAATGTAACATCGTTCATAAAACTAGGATAAACCTAATGAACTATCTGTAATTGATTTAGGAAGTCTGTTATCTTCTAAAATTATTGTTGTTCTAGGATAATCTTCCAGTTGTGCAAACAAATAACGATATTCCCAGTTACCGCTCTCATTCTGAAACAAAATTTCATATTAATGCAACCATAAATGATTTTGTGACTATTATATTATATGCATGGTTCTTACTTCTTTGACTTCGAGTCGAACCTGTGCTCTATTTCTTATTCCTTGTAAGTGAAACATCATTTGCATATGCGGAATGCCATCTTTAATATAAGAAGTATGAGCTACATGGCCACGTCGGCCTCTTCTCGTTTCTTCCCCATAAGCTTTAATAGGAGCTCCTAGGGAATCTTCAATTCGGTAATCCTGAAACAGTAATTAAAATTATATAAAGCATTATGAATTGAAGTATACAATATTAATAGATCAATTAATTAATTAGATTCTAAAAGCCAGCACAAGGTTAAGTAGAACTGGCATTAATTTCAATCTACCTTCATACATTTATCCAAAGCAGCTGAATAGACTCCATTAGGACTTTTGCTAGAGAATAGTTCCCTAAAAATAGCATAAAACATAAGTCCAGTAACACCTGCACCGAGAATAATGACTCCCATATAAGAAGCTGTTTTAGTATTTTCTTTCAATCTTTCCCCTAAAGGCTTTACTTCTGTATTTACTTGCGTCTGTTGCGTAGAACTTGCCAAAGTGCCTTTTTGTTCATTTTTATGACTGCAATAATAATTTTTGGCTATGTAGGTGTTCAAGAGTAATCCATTTATTAAGGTTTTAGTTTTGGTTGACTGCAAAATTCGGACATTAGGGCAAGGCAAAATCTTCGTGATAAACATAATGGAAATATATGTCCTAATGATATAACATTTCGCATAGAAAAAATAGATAAAAAACTAGTCTTAATTGATTTTAATTTATATTTATAAAATTTGACATTTGAATCGGTTCGGAACTAACCTACAAATTCTGATATAAGAGAATAAAGATGGATTCCAATCACTGCAATACAGCTGTTTCCAAGCAATGATACATGTTTTCACATTTCAGTTTGTGATATAAACTAACAAAATAAATTTTAATATGTTGTTTTAATCAGTGGTTTCGTGTGAATGCAGTTTAAATTAATAAAATCACGTAAATCTCTGAAAAAAATCATTTTAACATAGTTTGTAATAATCAATAATAATATTGTAGAAATGTCAAGTTGACATATGTATAGGAAAATTTATAAAATATCAAATTAAAATTAAGTGTTTTCTATTTCTATATCACGCAGTGAATAATTCCCACAGTATTATAACAGTTTTAATGTTCTAAAAGTGTATTTTTTATATTATTTTTAAAAATTCATAATTGTTTAAAAAATGGATTGGGTTATAAATGATGAGCTGCAACTCACTGCTGGGGACTTGGTCGGCTGGGCGGCTGCTGCAGCTATGATTATTGGAGGAGTAGCCCCATACATTCCACAATATAGACATATAAAACAAACACAGGACCCCGAAGGATTCTCGTTGCATGTCTGTCTTGCGCTACTTATTGCAAATACCTTGAGGATATTGTTCTGGTAAGTAACAGTGCATATGTATATATATTAAGTGTATATATATATATATATATATATATACTTAATAAAATATATAAATATATACTTGTATATACTAGATTTGGGCTTATTCCATCCAAAGCCGGATCAGTTTTTTTTCTATTCGAATTTTAATATAAATTTTATATCTCAGACAGACGAAATCACCTGGTATGAGTAAAAAATATCTATACAATAGTATACATTTATTTTCTACATGACATTATTATATATGTGTATAATATGGTCATTACAATTTAGAATTTGACTCCACTTCAGAGTATAGTTATATCCGCTTAACATCCCTATTTTATGCATTTCAATACGCATTCAAATCTCAAATTGTATGTCAAAATTGAGATAATAAAAATATTGATATATCAGAGTAATTCTTGTGCTATAAAGGGTCCACTAGACAATCAGGCGGCTAGACAATTTATGAATAATTAAATGCCAATAATATAATGATTTAAACAAATTTACTAATAAATGTCAGATTATTGAAGTTTTGGTCGGCCAGGCAATCAAATCAATGGCTCATATTTTGACCAAAGTAAAAATAGACAACTTGCAAATCTAAATCAATTTTATAATTATGTTTGAAACCAAAATTAGAATTCTTTGATTATTTTTATATTTATATGAAAATTTAATGCTGTAAACTTTACGCATAAAATTAGAACAAAACTTTATTAACATAATATTTTTCACCATATACAAAAGTCTATAGACTTCCGTACATTTTACCCAATTTGGCCATAGAGTCCCGCAATATATCAAGCTTTATATAAATCTTCACTAAAGTTTCTCAAATTATTTGGAAAATACAAAAAAACACATTTCATTTCATGAAAAAACAACTTGAGTAATCACCAGAAAAAATATATGTATATAATACTTGAGATTCAAAGCTGTTTTATACATATTTTTCTAATGTTCTAGTTTGGGATAATTTTTCAACTAGTTTTTCATAAAAACCATGCATATCGGGTAGCACTAAGGTATAACTAAAATAGTATGTAAATTTTTTGGCAATCATTATTTTTATTTAGTTTAAAAGAGAAGGTAATTAAATATTTAAATGAATAAGGGCTTTGTATAAATAAATAACAAATTGATACATCAAACATTTTATTTCATATTTTCATTTATTTCTTCGAAGGATGGGTTACCGTATTTGTGTTTCAATATGATTTTAAAAAATAAAACCTTTTTAATTTACCTTGCTTAATAATATCAATTTTCTATATTATATAAGTATTGGATTATTCTAAATAATTATATTCCAGAGTAAGTATTTGATATTTCTCTTTTATTTAATATTTAATGTAATTCTTTACAATATTCTTTTCTAACAATTTGGAAGCCAAATAAATAGTTTACATTGATGTAAATTATTTTTTTCTAATATCTTTTTGATGAATTTATTTTTTTACAGGTTTGGTAAAAGATATGAACTGCCTTTACTTATTCAAAGTTTAGTAATGACATTAGCCATGTTTTTAATGGTACATTTATGTGTTACTGTAAGACGTTCTAATCAATTAATTCGAGCTAGAGAAAGAACATTTTCAGGTAAAATTTCAACTTTTCCAAGTAGTTTGTTGCATGAAGCATATGCATGTCTATAAATAAATAATAAATATATATATGTATATATTTATATATAATTTGTTAGGGTTAAATGTCTTACGATAATAACATTTTTTTTCATATATGAAATTTTTATTTATATGCAGTACTTTACCTTTTTTAGTTACTCTTTTGAGCATTTTTTATTAAGAAATCTTGTATTTGAATTTGAGGACATATTGCTTTTTATCAATAAATCCTTATAAATGTATCCATTCAAAAACTTGATAATATTTTAGTACCCTTTTATCCAAATATTAATCCACCCCTTTGTTGAACTATACTTCAAAATCTCAATGAAATAACCTTAATCGAATCAATTTAATACCTTATTTTATATAAATAATTTTTGCATTGTTCATCCCAGCAAGCACAGCAGAAATTTGGCAACAATTGAAAACTGGTCGAAGAAACTCCCCAGATCCCGCCCAACCACATAGATTTTATGGTAAATTTTTTATTCCCAATGGATGGTTCTGGTTTCATACTAAGCCTTGTTTCTAACAACAAAATTCTAACACATAAGTGTGCCCTTTCACAATCACTTCCAAATATGTTATTTTGATATGTGTTAATCACCATTCTGTTTGTTTCTGGTTGATGCTTTTCTAACCACATTCAATATGCACCTGTCTGAATTAAACATACTTATAGTATAAGTAAAATAAAATGTATGATGATATATTAATTATATGTGTACGTGTACATATAACACTTCGAACTACATTGAAAGATATAATTAAAAAAAGAAGACATTACATAACAAATTCATTCTTTTATTTATATTTTTAATATAAATAAAAGTGTTCATACAACTGTATGGAATGAACAAGTAGTGATTTCTTTATAGAACACCATTTATCTATATAGATTCGCCACACACACACTTCACAGTTAATACATATATGTATTAACAAAGTCTAGTAATCGGGCATAACACCAATAAAAAACATGAATTTCTTTCAAAAAATTATTTTACATCCATACGTTTCGGTTATAATTCTAGCCGTCATTCAGTGGAAACTAAAAATAAAATTAAAAACTAAAACAATTCAATTGGAGAGAAAAGAAAAAAATATAAAGAGTAAAAAGTACTTACAATTAGTTAATATTAGTGTTAAATTAAAAGATTTTAATAATCCATGGTATCAGGATTGTAATGCACATTAAACTTATAATTAACTAAGTACAAAATACTAACTTAAAAAAATCACAGATAGTTTGTAATATATGTGTTGTTTGTAAACTAGTTGAAGTGTCATAATGGTGAAAAGATTTTTTTTAAATATTTTTACCAAGATTTGGAATTATGGAACGAATTGCGAATCCTTTGCGCGACATTTTTATTATTTTGTGAGAAATTTGGAAATGATATCTAAATAAATTAGATTTGAGTCGCACAGCGTGTTAAGTGCATTTCGCTTATTTATTGTCTTATTGTTATAAATAGTCAAAAAAGATCCTTCTATAATTCTTTGTTTAAATAAATTTTATTCGAATTGTAGTAGTCGGGTTAAAAAAGTTTATATTGTGTTTTAAATTATTAATGTGGTCTGCAAGCATAGTTTTTAATTGTCTGGGATTTCACGTACCGAAAATAAATTTTTGAAAGAATTTCATCTTTTTATTGATGTTTTGCCCGATTATTAGACTTTGTTAATATATATATTCACATTTATTTATATCACATTGCCACTTTTTTTTATAAATTGAAATAAAATATTATTATTTGTTAATATAAATTGAAATAAATTATTATTAATATTATTAATTGGTGATATGCGTTGCCTATGTGGTACATCATTGGGAGCAAGGGATTAATTGTTGTCATTATTAAATGGTGTTTTGCTAACAAAATGAAATTTCAATTGTTACATCATTTTGAATATCATTACAATTATTGAAATTTTGAAGTTTAAACTCATTATTGTTTCTATCCTTAAAATCATTTATTCATTTATGAATAGATGTTAATTCAAAAATGTGCAATTAATAGAGAAAATGAGTATTGAAGTCAAAATTGCTTGTAATGCTTTGAAGCAATTAATGGTTATTAATAATTATTATTTTTTGTTTTTAATTAATTTTGCACAGAGCATGGCTAATGCTTTGATACCGATTTATACAAATACATATAATTTGCTCGCACATGATCACAATTCTTCTATATGGCAACATATTTTTCTATATGACAATCATTATAAATAGTAACAATATATGAATATTTGCAATATGTATTTGTTTTGTTTATATGTATTAATTGTTTGTTTTAGTATTTGACTTCAATTGTTAAGTAAACATCATTTATTCATTCGTTCATTCATCACTTCATCTATGCCATTTTTCATTATTTATTTATTATTTCACATGCCCATTTTTATTAAATATATTTAATTTGAATATTGTCATTTGCCAGATTTTGAGCTGAAATTTTTCTGGCAGTGGACAGATTTTCAGTCCTATGTGGACTGTATGCTGGTAATATGGGCGTTGGGCGCCGGATTGACTTTTCTTTTGCTCGAAGTCAAAATTTTTATCGAATTGCTAGGATTCTTGGCAGCTTTCACTGAGGCAATTTTGGGTGCTCCACAACTTGTGCGAAATTGTCGGGTAATTGACTATGCTATGATTTATATATTCTTAAAACTTGGCAGCTTGTAGTTACAATATTTATAAAATTCCAGAACAAAAGCACAATAGGAATGAGCATTAGTATGGTGGGCATGTGGACATGCGGTGATATCTTCAAAACGTGCTATTTTATATTGAGGGATTCGCCATCACAATTTTGGATATGTGGAAGTTTGCAGGTACTTATATAAGATAAACCTAGTTAATCAAAATCTATATTCTTTGCTTTTTTATATTAACTTAATGCGTTTGTGAATCAACGGCTAGAATAATTAGTTCGGTTCCGAAAGCGATTTCTATTCCTTCAAGAAATTCAGTGTTATCTTAAATGCGTATTCTAATATATTGTATCTATTTTTATATGGGAATCATATATTTCAAGGAAAACTATTGATTTTTGTGACTAATTTAGACGGGCGCACCCAAAAACAGAAATTGGCGGTGAAAGATAAAACTACCACGGCGCGCAAAAAATAACCTTCACAAGAAATATAATATGCTGTGAATGAAAAAAAAAGTAAAACTGATTATATTTAGGAATAGCTTTTTATTGGTATTACATATTATACGAAACGAATTACAGTCAATGAACTTATAAATTATTTTTATTTCACTTGGGTTTATGCAAATATTTGCATATAATTTGTTTGTTTTGCATTAATTTTTGAAAATATATTTATTAAAATATTAGTAATTTCTTAATTTTAATTTCCTTATTTATTTCGAAAAATTGATTTTATGATTCAATTAAAAGTGATCAGAACTTCTGATCTATGAGATGTGCTCGATGGTAACCCAACTGTTAAACCATTTATATGTGATTATTTTATTCTTAGAATTGATCTAATACAGATGATATATTATTCAATTCGATGCTACTATGAAGCTCTTAACGATTCACAATTAATTAAAAAGAGCAAAATTTACTAACGTAAGTAAACCATAGAAAGGTAGATCAGATTTCGTTCTAAATTGTCAGTAAAGTATTGCATTTCTACCAGCTTTTTACAAAAGATTATGCCTTGAGTTAAGCAATTGATAAGAAGAAGATATTCAAAGTTGTACTATTAATTTTAATCCCATTATCGAAACTTTCATAGTGATGTTGGATTAAATCTTTTGAATTAAATTATTTTATAGTAAAATATACAAACCTTAAATTTTAAAAGAAAAATTCTTTTGATAATAATATTTTTATCTGAAAATGATAACTAACTTATTTTCTATTTTTGACCCTATAACTTCAAATAATTTATCTTTAAATTGAATTAGAACTATATTAGGACTATTATTTATTCCAAATATATTTTGAATAATTCCATCCCGATACAATATCATTTGATTAAAAATTACTCTAACACTTCATAATGAATTTAAATTACTTATAAAATTTAATCCTATAGGAAAAACTTTTATTTTTATTAGATTATTTTCATTTATCTTATTTAATAATTTTTTTAAATTATTTAATTATATTTGGTGAAGGACTGTGATCAACGAGATGAAATGGATGATTTTGTGATATTTGTAAATTTCTCTAGAATGAAGATAATAATATAATACAGTAGAAGTCCTGTAGTACGGCATACGGCAACCAACAGTTCGGAATGCCCGATAGTCCGACTTTTTTCCGAAAATTTCGTTTTTTCAACCATATACCGTTATAGCAAATTAAAATATGTACTCGAAAGCTATTTGCACGTTTTTGTGGTAGTTCGGAATCATTCGGAAGGACTCGCTATTGTTCGGAACCCATGTCCGTAGTGAATTCCATTGTGTCTAGGTTCATGAACGAAGTATGTTCTACGAAATACGTAGCCTTTACTTTCTAGAAAGGATTCGGCCGCTTTTATAAGTTAGTACACTGAATACAGAGGGACAGTAAGCATATCAGTAGATTTAACCACTTTACTGAGCAGTGACGAAGTTTTCAAAACTTAAACCTTGGTATTCAAAAGAAGAAAAACGAAAACACGTAACTCGAACTCTCAATCAGAAACTAGAAATTATCATTTTTTGCTTTTTTGTTAACATTTTAAAAATATTTTAAATGAATATTCTAATGAATGACAAAAGCTTTGTTTTTTGTATTTCCTGCTAATTTTGTAGTTTAATTACATAGTCCGACACATGAACTAATTCACCATGAACATGAGGTCCGGAACAAGCCCGACTAAAGAACTTCTACGTAGATCAATATTACATCATGTTTACAAATCAAATTATTTTTTATTCTAGGTGATATTTTATCTAATCAAATCTTTATTATTATAGGTTATGCTCGATATAGCGATCCTGCTGCAGGTGTATATATTCCGCGGTCGTCCGATACCGGCTCGGCCCATGCGGGCATCATACCGGGCGGCGATGCGTGGTGCTGCAACGCACGCGCATTCGCATCGTGGCGATTAGCGACGCGCCACGGCACCCGCCGTCTTATAGCACGCGGCCATGCTTCCCATATTCATTGGTAAATAATATTGCTAGTTATATATTTTGCATGATACATTTATAACTGAATTCTTATTTATCAAATTGTTTTATGACAATATGTTAACCCCTTAACTTACGATTTAGATTCGAAAATGTCGGCCCAAAGTTGTACAAGCCTGCGGCGCATTTGTGGCTATTTTCCCTCATAGTGTACGGTTTATCACAAAAATAAATATAATTTTAATTAATAACGAAATGCGTAATATTTGCTTTTGGCCCGAACATCGTACGCGGGCTATGCCCGTGATATTCACTTTTGGCCTAGCAATCGCACGCGGGCTCTGCTTTTCATTATAAGTTAAGGGGTTAAAATAAAGCGATAACATAAAACAATGCTCGGCTATCTTTTTTGGCCGCGAGTTAACATTTACCAAAATGCGTGTATTAAATGGACATTTGGTCAGAGATATTCTAGTATTAAAACAGCATTTTAATTAACAATAAGTTATATTTTGATAAAAAATTATAAATCTCTCTGCAGGACCGTCTATTAGTCACGTGATCGATTTTTAAGGATTTTTGACCTCATGCTCCCCTGTCAGTGTTCGTGGTGATTGGTATAATAAAAATGCTTCCTTTTGATTATTTAGTTTATTTTATATGTTGTTTGGTTCACGGTTCAGCAAGAAGAGAGATTTACAGAGTTTAACATAAACAAAAACATAAAAATGGCGGATACATAGTTAGAGTAGGGCAAAGAGTGTTGCCAACGCCACTGATACTAATGGCGGTACATTTGAATTACAAATATATAAAACATTACATTTGACATAAAAGTGTGACAAACAATTTTGTCCAGTGATATTTAAAATAAAACTGTTACTACCCAACATTATGTGTATTTTTAGTACTTATAAAAAATCGTGGAATTTTTGAAAATTTTATGAATTTGTTTCTGATTTCTATATCTTACTAGACTCCCCATCACCCTCACGTGATTATTTCGTGATTTTTTGTCAAACACCTCCTCCCTTTTAAATCTCACATGATTTATGTATCTTGTTACGTGCAAGTTTATACTGTTTTCTTCTATTTCATCGCGCTCTATTATAAATGTAAACATTTCTCTTTGTTTATCAAGAATTTGCGACATCAATTTAGTTAAGTCTCGTTTATAGTTAGTCGGTTTAAGTTGAACCTTGGAATTTTCAATAGTCGACCTATTCCTATTTCAGTATGTAAAGTTTATTTGTGACAATATTTGATCATATTTATTATCCGAAAGTAAACAAAATTACTAATAGTCTAAGAGCCAGTGAACTATTTGACTAAACTGTTTTCTCAAAGCTAGAAATTTTTTTAATAACATTTTATTATCGACCCATTAAGAAAGTACCAGTCTGGCAGTCATTCCGCGATTGCGTCATCATCCCTTCAATTTGTGAAAATGTAAAAAAAAATTTCATAACTTGCTCGCACAAGGCTCAAATTTTGAGGGTGTATTCTTTTAACTGTTCAGAAAGCATATGTAAAAATCCAGCCCATTCTGACGGTTGCAAGGGTCTGCTAGACGAGTACATAATAGTTACGACGCGCAAGGGTGTGGGCGCATTGCCATACATAATCGACTAATACCCTTATATTTGAATAATTTATACGCCATTTTGAAGGTCATTTTGAAAATATCCGATATACCAATCTTCAACTTTGTATCTCACCTTATGGCCGAGATATCATTGAAAATATGCCAAAGTGGCCGGTTTTTCAAACACAATTTTTGGCGTAACCATAAAAGATATCGAAAAAAAAATTACGTGATTCTATTCATATTGGCTCAAACCACATAATGTATAGTAATATATGCTAAATAATCCTTTATTATTAGCTAAAAAGGATAAAATAATTTTTCAGTTAATGTTTTCGGATAGTGCGTTTTGCTTAATTACTTTATTATTAGCGTTATTCAAAAGCCTATTGTTTTCTCTTTTAGTGCTGCAAATATTGTTCAAATCAAATTTGTAAAATACATTGAAAAATTGATCGGCGGTTAGCGCCGCATATCTATAAAAAAACACCTAATGAAGTTGATTTTGTTTATTATCTTGATACATAACTTTCTTTATTCGTTTGTCTAAAGATTTTTTTCAATTTCCAGGTCTACCTAAGGAAGATGGGAAAGCATGTAATAATCACAACACAATCAACATAAATCTAAATGATATAAACAGCAGCAGTGTAGAAACCTGCTTATAGCATTGCGCCCGGGTCCCAATACTGATTGGGGCCCCATGGGATGCAATGACTACTCGAAGAGAGTGCGAGCCGCAGAATGGTAATCATCGCAATAATACGGAACAAAGGGTCGTAGGCAGTATTAAATATGTAAACGATAATGAAATTGAGACCTGCTTATAGCGAAGTCTTGTATTCTTATTACTATTGATTGCGCACTAAGAGTAAAACGCAATCGACTGATTCATTTTACTGACACACTCTAATGGATACAGGTGGAAATGACAGGAATATGGTAAAAGTTATTTTCTTATTGGTGATGGGTTGCAATTTTGACAAATTCAAATTTCTAAACTATATTTATAGCATTTGTAAAGCATTCCAGCTTTATAATTATGACTTCTAGTAGTTGCATTAGTACCAGCTATTAAAAAATTTGCTTAGGTGCATGTACTGATGAACAGTGCATCATTAATTTAAACATAAAGGTTGTAATGCTTTACAATGCATATCTTTTTTTTCTTTGTTCTGATTTAGAATTTATCATTCTTATTCAAAAGTATTGCGTTCATGATTTTTATATAAATTATTTGATCGTCTTTTTAAATAAAATATTTGGGCCCAAAACTATATAGTGGAAGTTTAATAGATCGGATAGAAAATTTTGTGTTTGAAAAACACATATTTCTAACAAAAACTATACTGTCACGAGCCAGTGTGTCCATTCATCCTATTAGTATACTCAAGGTATGACCTTTGTAACAATATTTTGCATAGTGTATATAAAATTTGAAGCTAAATTAGACTTGTAAAAAATATAGTTGAAATCTATTTTTTAAAAGGTTCTGTAAATATATACGAGGATTCCCATTCATCATGCTTCCCATTATTTTCTCTTCATTTTAATGCGGAATTTGGTATTCCAATGTTGACTTTTATTCCCTGAAGTTAAAATGCACAAAAACATATGCCAAAACTACTATTATCAGTATCTTATGATAGTTTGAAAAGATTGATTGCGTATTTGAATAATGACACCATTTATATTTGCGAACGATGTATATAGATTTTTGTTGATGAATTTGTGTGATTATCTGAAACATAATCTCGTATTTTTTATATTTTATTGCTATTGGCAAATGAAGATCTTGATCAGCTGCATGAATATGACTACGATTTTATAATTTATTCTTAAACATTCCATCTCACAATAAAAAAACTTAATATTTTTATCTTGTTATAATTTCAAGGTATTTGATAATTAAATACTCTTATTCTTTTAAATTTTTATTTACTTTTCAATTCAGTTTGAAATATACTGGATTTAGATAATTTTTATTTCTCGTAATCTCTGAAATTGCATTGTAATCTTTCCTGATTAATTGTAATCATCATCGTTTTCTAAAATCTTAAAATTTACTTTGTCTTAAAATTTATTTCAATATAATAACTATATATATATATATATATATATATATATATATATATATATATATATACGAGGTCTGTTCAAAAAGTACCCGGAATTTTCGTTTTTTCAAAAAAATATTTATTTATTCGTCTACATTAATGTGGTCCCCTTCAAAGTAGTCCCCCCCAGATATAATACAATTTTTGAAGCACCCTTGATATTCACTTTTTGATATGTCCTTGAGCACTCTCAGCGATTTTCTTCAATCGAGGAAAACCGCCGTCCTTTCATGGGTCTCTTCAACTTTGGGAATAGGAAAAAGTCACACGGAGCCATATCTGGTGAATTTTTGCACTTTGCAACACTTTATTTCATTTTTTACGCAAAATTTAATACAAATTCTTTGACTTTTCAATTCTTCCATTGTAAAAATCGCCGAGCTCAGAAAAACACGTCGAACCTTAGCGACTACCACAGACAAAGTAAACAGTGAATATAGCTGAAAATTTCATCATACTTTAGGGGCATGTATACCAACACAATAAAAAAAAAATTTTGACAATCAGACACTCCAGACCCGCGAAATTTAATTATTAGTAATTCCGGGTACTTTTTGAACACACCTCGTATATATATACATATTATATAATTCTATTTAATAATTATTGTTAATATTTTTAATATCCCATTTTACTAAAAAATTCTCATTTATATCGATTTTCAAGAGTATACGGGATTATATTATTAATAAACCTTAATTAAAAATTGCGGTATGGTCTTTATGCTGTTGCAGCCAAAGTAAAATGCATTAAAAGTGACAAAATATCTTGCCACTATTTTTAATATAATAACTCATTTAGACAATAATTAATTGAAATGATAGAATCAACATTCCATATCTATAACGTGTATATACATTTCTCGTCTTGTTTTAATACGACATGCAACAATCCTTGTATATAATAAATAAATACATATCAAACATTTTGTACGTTTTGATAACTTTTTGAAGCTGACATAATCATAAGTTATATTTTACTAAAATTATTTTGGAGCTTGATATGAAAGTACATACTCATATATAAGTTATGGAAATGGCTCCATTTCTTTTTCTTTTAGGAAAATATATTTAAAAGTTGATTAGTACATGTTTTTGAAATATTTAACTAATTAAAAATATAGTTTGAATTATAATTATATGCAGAACATAAAGTAAATGTTTTTTAGGGGTGGTTATATTTATTAGACATTTGTATATATGAATGAAGTGAAAATTTGTAACTTCTAGTCAGGTTGTTATATACAAATAATTACAGGAAAGATACATTTCCCCTTTTTTATTAGTAGTTACTTTATGATATTTTATTGTTTGTCTTTTTCAATAATTTAGAAGTATAAGTACACTTTGAGCATATCATTTTTCTTAATTGCTGTATAATATTGATATTAAAATATTAGCATTCATACTCAACCGAAAAAAAATGTAAAAACTTAAATCATGAAGATTTATTTTTTAGAACTCCATCCAAATTGATTTTCTTAGCCTTTATCCATGAATCATAATTGTTTATATTTGCGTATACATATAATTTGCATGTATATTTTTCAAAATGCTAATATTAAAATTATGTGCAAAGTTTTGGTGTATACATAATCGATTTAACTAAATTTCGAATTGAATTCGGTTCGACCGTGTAGAAGTAGAATTTGTAGAAATTTTACGATAAAATTTCTTACAATTAGTTCACCAGTTTGAGGGTTTATATTGCACGTTATGTTAAATTTGGAAATGTATGTATTTTGAGACTAAATTGTGTACAAAAATATTGGTTGTGTTAGATAATAGGTTTTATCAGCTTTATATAGATTTACGATTTGAAAGATTTATATTTAATGTATTACTAAAGAGTATAATTATCAAAAATTCCAAATCAGTCACACTACTAACATCGATGCATTGTGATTCTGATCAATTAATAGAAAAATTTTAAGTTAACTATATATAATTTTAATTCTTTTGTCATTGATATCACCGTTAGGGCAAATTTTAGATTGAGGCTTTAATGGATAATTATAGAGTTAGGAATCTCTTAGAACGTCAGGTATAATGTAAAAAAAATCTAGTTTCAAATATCATTGTAAATATTGGTCTTAGTAGACTGGTGCTATTTAATAATAACTAATTTAATACATCTACATTCTAAAAAATGTTTGCTAAGAAGTTTGATTCAAAAGTATGATATTTACTAATTGAACTGCTTTTTGGTTTCGGTAAATAATATTTAGATTAATCAAAATTTAGGAAATTGAACACATTGATTCATATCAGCTGAAATTTGCTTTTTTAAATTCGTTTTTCATCTGAACAGCAATAAGAACATTTTTAGTAAATCGATTTTTAAATCAATAGCATTTTGAAAAAAATACATACATTTACTTTATTCGAATATTGAACTTTTTACGTAAAATTTGAAATTATATAAATTAATTTTGTTTAAGTTATAGTCAATGCTTATTAGATTGTAGATTTGTAAATAGGTAAATAGTCAATTAGGGAAATAACTAATAATTTGTTTAGTCTGTTTAAGTTTTTTTAGTGCATAAAATGTATTGTAGATAGTGTTTATAATCAAAGTATATATATAAGAATCATTTAGACATAGTTTACCATTAGTCAAATTCTTGCTATGGAACCATTTACGAATGTTGAATTGCGAATAGTACAACATTTGTATTTAATTGAATTCAAAAACCAAAATACGTCAGCGATTAATATAATTTGTACATAGTAGTGGAAATTGATATAATGTTTTATTTTATCATTGTGATATAGTGATATAGATAAAAAATAAACATTTTTTTTAAATTAGCGGTTTAAGACATTACAAAATATAGAGCACATGAGTTACCAGTTTTGTACATTGTTTGATTGCATTGTCGTTTTGCAGTGGATTTCCTTATGGATTGCACAATGCAAATTTGAGAAATAATTTTTATAAAAATAATAAAAATATTATAAATATATAGTATACTCTTCTTCCTCCAGTATATTCACAAAATGCTAACCTTATCAAACTATTACAAGCTCGTAAATACATTTACTGAAAATATCACATACGCCAGTTCATACTGCAGTACGATTTACAGTAGTTTATAATACTAAATTTTTGCTTTCACCTATAACTTGTAAAATTCGATTCTTCAAAACAGTCTAAGGGAAACGGCATTTTTCAACCAAAATTTTAAAGCTCAACATTGTTCACAACATTTAATCGAGAATAAAATAATTTAGAAGTTGGCCATAAAGAATTTTTACTAGAGGAAGAAAAATATTTAAAATTTAAACTTGAAAGCTAGACGAGTTTAATTAGATTGGCTTTGTTGACGATTGAACAATTATTCTTAAAAACCAGTAAAATTTTAAAATATTAATATCGCGAAGTAGCATCGTAGTTAGATTATAATAAATACAATGCCTTTAAAACTGCGATTGCCTTAGCGCCACAGAAAGCTAATGGACCTGTCCACATTGCATTTGTAATATTCCCTTATATAGTTTTTTGTTTTTTTAGTTATTGATTTAAAGGCACTTTCAAAGGTAATGGTAAATGAAAAATTCCGAATAATTACTTTTTAATAATAAATTTCGAGCGTTTGAAAGTCAAAAATGGGTGTTGTATGCTTGAATCAATGGGGATTAGATCAAGATTATATAATGAAATTTAAGTAATTGATTTCTGCGCATTTGTTTTTCTGGAGGAGTTAATTCAGACATAGTTTTTGTTAGTCATAATAAATTCAACATTCAATTCAATTTTAGCTTCTTTCTAAACTGTATTGTGATGTAGAATCTGCCTCTTTGTTTCCAATCTCCACTAACAAAAGAAGTTTTTTTTATATATTTTATAAAAAAAAAGTTCAAGTTCGTTTGGAATGATTCGTCTTCGTTCGTGTTCGTGTTCATTCGTCTTCGTATATTCGTTCGTTAGGTGAGGACGCACCTTAATAAAATACAAATTTTACTATTGAATTTAGCGCGTACTTTTGTGTACCTGATTTGTGTATACAACTAAAAAATATTGAATGTATACCCTTTTATTATTCTATTGTCAGTCAACCTATATGGTAAGAATTAACTTTTTTTTTATTAATTAATAAACAGCAATCAAAATTACATAAAATAAGAATTAACTAATATTATTTTTTGTCAGTTAACAAGGCAGTTATATTATAAATATTAGTTTTTTTAGTGCCTTTAAATTAATGTTATTCCGCTAATATTAATTTGGTCATAATTTTACTTCCCATTGGTCTTCCGTTTTGCGATTATAACAATCTTTCTGTTCCATCGTCAAAAACAGCTTATCAGTTACATTAACAGGTAAATATTGAGTTTTATTTATAAGAACAACATTTTTAATGTTACCTATAATTTTATAAAAAATAGGCGTTTTAAACAAGCAATTGAGTATGTCCAGTTTATTTTAATATGTCAATATGAGCCATAGAAACCCAGTGAATCAAATAGAAAGTAAAAACGTTGTTTTAGGGTATAAAAGTGTTCTTAGAAATTTATACACGTGGGATGAATTTTTTTTTAAATTTTCTTCTAAAATAGCAAATAAGATAAGAAATATCTTATTAGCTATTCTAACATGAACAGAGAAAATATAAAATAAAACAGAAAAAAATAATTTAAATTTCACTCTATGTAGAAAAATGTATGAGGATTACCTCACTAGGTAACTTGTTTGTTTTTAAACAAATAAAGTTAAAAAATATAGAACAAAGTAATAGAAAACTAAAGTCAGAAATATATGAATTATAGTTATGTTAAATGGTGTATACTACGTGATTGTATTTCTAAAAACGCTTTAAATTCTAATATACTAAATTTATTCTAAATACTTATAAGATTTGCCAGACACCAGGTTGCTTCAGAATCTGATTTTATAATAAGTAATACGAAACTTTATCATTGTTTAACAGCTTCTTGTTTTATCAAACTACTTCTATAACCAGAATGTATTTATTAAAACCTCTCTTTGTTTAAACTCAACGAACTGATTTATGTAAATTTTACTTCTAAGAATGCATAGACAAATGTAATTTAGCAAAAGTCGACTAAAATAATTTTTACTAAATATTAATAATGCAGGTAAACGTAAACCTCCATTGTTATAGTATGAGTTTATTTAATAAATATAGATTTAAATCACTGGGGTTTTAAACTATCTTGAAGATAGTTTATATAACCTTCGAATTTGATTGCCATCATTGACGCTTTATTGATCATGTAGTCTAAAAGTCTATAAAACTTATGATGAAATAGTACAGAAAAATAATTAAGTTACCAAACTTAAATTTTCAATATTATTGATTATTTACCATATGTTAAGCCAATAATTTCATAACGATGATATAAAGAAAATATCAATCAGAGTGACAAACAACTAATTAACATGTTCCAGTTTTTGTGAAACGAATATAATTAAATTATAATAAGTCCGCGAAAAACAGTTATTAACACTGTGAGATAAATACATTTGTGATGTGTGACAATACACCAAAGCTTCTTGGCGTATTGTATTATAATGAAATATAAATAGTAATGTAGAGATAAAAATAATTTGAACAGATAACTAAAAGTATGCTAGATCAGAACAAAAATTGTAAATTGTTATGTGAATAAAGTTTTGGGATTGTGCATTAATCTATCTATTTGTAGAATTTTTGATACCTTTTAGCATCAAGGCATAATGATCGCTGTGCACTTCAATTTTTTGAGGTAAATTAAAACACTTTTATTATTGGATAATGCAACTTCTAACCCCAAAGATCTTGGAGCAAATTTGGAAGAGAATTATCACAAAATTAGGAGGAAACAGCCAATCAGACGATTTCTAGTGCCACCATATCTATGGTCAAATAGGAGGAGTGTAAGTACGACCAAATGTTTACTTTTCAAACAAGGTTGACGTAGTCTGTAACATTTTTGTACAATTTAAAATAATAATGTTGAATAATTATTCACAAAATAAATTAATTAATAAGTGTTTTCAAAAGAGTCCTACAGTCATGACTTCTTTCTTTACCTTTTGATCTCCTGAAATATTAACGAAACTTTAAATAGTGTTAGTTTTTCTCTCTTATACAATACGGTATTGCCAATATATATTAAAAATTATGACCATCTGTATTACAGTATCTGTATTACAGATGCTCATAATTTTTAATACGTATTGTAGAACAGAGAAGAATTAACACTATTAATAGTTTCCTCAAGATTTCAGGACCTCAAAAGGTAAAGAAGGAAGGGCGTCAAGACTTTAAGACTACCCTTTTGAATGCACCTGTTAATTAACTTATTTTGTTTGCTTTAACATTTTTCACCAAGCAATGACTACTTTGTGTCTCTAATGACAATTCTGATATCGCTGCTGTGTGATATATTTGCTATTCGTCAATTTTAAATTATTATTTCACAAAATAATACATATGGACCTAAACGGTTATTTAGGTATTTTTATCAGAATATTTTTATTTTCGTAGTTTAGTCAAATGATATTCTGCGCAACTATTTACTGTTTTCTTAATTCATTTTTAAATATTATTTCTTATTTTCCTTATTGATTAACTTCCCGAAGGAGAAGATTATGTTTTCATCAAAAAATCCGATTCGCTAATTTTAAGTTTTCTCGACGTTTCAAGCCATTCTGAATCGAATGAGACAGAATTTGAAAAAAGCATGTGTGTGTGTGAACAGATTTTTTGTCGTAAATCGACGTTTTCTCCAAAACGGCTCGACCGGTTTTAAAAATTTAAAAGCCATTCGATGTATCTCGATGAGGACTAGCTTTGCGCGACGATCAGCCAAGCCGTTTCTTTATAAATAGCAGAAAAATGAAAATTTTTTCGTCCACGTTTTAGCCCCCGTTCTCAATCGATTTTGAAAATTCAAAAACCGTTCGAAAGATATTGGTTGGGAATCGTGCTGATGAGATTTTGGTAGAGATCGGCCGGGCCGTTTTCTTGTAATAAAGTGTTGAAAAAAATTTTTTAGGCGATTTTTATTATTATTTTTTTGACGATAGATCTCATACTCCGCTAGATCATACTAAAATATTACGACCCCCATTATGTGTAATAAATCCACTCGGATACTTTTAATCACTCATAAATTAATTTATTTTTTATTGATTAAGTCGATTATTTACACATATTGGGAAGTTCATGTAACTTGCCTCAAGGGAAATACTAATACCAACTAGTCTTGAATAAGTATAAATAAATTAATAAAGTTGACCCGCGACAAGGGTTATAGATCAAGATTCAGTCAAGCAAAACAATTAAGAAAAGGTTTGATTTTTTGTCAACCTTATTACATATCCGATAGTATAATATACTTTAAGGGGGTACAAATTTATTTAATTTAATGAATTAGTTTAATATTGGAATTGATTGAAATCGAAATGGTGAATTTTAAATTTACGTCCGTGTTTATGATACAAATGTATGTTATGACCAGATACTAAATATAGTAGGAATTTAGTCTTACTTATTATGAATAAGGTTGACAATAAATAAATATACAAATTAATAAATATGAGTCGCGACAAGAATTAAAAATCGAGGTTTTGGTCGTTTATGCCAAATAATTAAGAATCAGTTTGTCATTAAAATTTATTTAACTTAAGAATTTAAATTCTAGAATTTATTTTTAATCAAAATTCGAGTAAGTTTAGTTTTAATAAGATGAGTGCATGGACGTCCGCAATGTTGCAACTCTTCCTCTGCCATTTAGCGGAAATTGGATTTCTGTGTATTGATTTGTTTCCAGCTTCTGGCAAATATTTTCTAGGGCACACCCTCAATTTTCTTCACTTACGTTTGTAAGTAGGACTTATCGCTGTAGTATCAATAAATGGTTCATGACTCAGTTCTCTCGTTGCTTCATTACATGTAAATTCCATTTCGATGAAATCTATACCACATAAGTATATGTTTATTAGAAGGGCGGAAGGTGCAGAGGGCACAGATTTCAGATACTCCTATGCTCCTATGTCCTATCCCTGATGTCTGACGTAAAACGAAAGTTTAGGCAGCGCATGCGTTACCGGACACCGAGCTACTCCCACTATTAAAACAATCATGGACTATGTAGGTAAGGATATCAACAAAATGGATATCTTATATAGATATACTTATATACGTACGTAAGGACAATACTTAGATAAGGACAATACTTAGATACGTAAGGACAATGGATATTTTATATAGATATACTTATGTATACTTATATAGATGTACTTTTATATATATATATATATATATATATATATATATGTATCTTATGTAGATTGTTATATATTATTGCAATTGATTTCATTTTTTAAAAATGGAAAAAATATTGTTTGTCAGTTAAATTAGAAATTTTAAAAAATATTGCTATTTTGGTATTTGGGGTTATGAAAATTATTGTTATTGCGTTACACGTACATATTTATTTGTTTATAATTGTATACGTATTTATCACATTATTTAGTCTATTTTATTATTTATTATATTATTTTGTCTATTTATGTATTTATCATATTATTTAGTCTATGTATATATTTATCATATTATTTAAATTTAAATTTCTTAAACTTTCCTGCATGTATAAGTATTTGGCATATTCAATTAAAATTAAGAAAAAATTCCACTTTAGTGTTTTAAAAATGTATTTTATTCAAGTGTGAACGTCTCCGGTAATTATTACAAAAAATTGTTCGAATATTTAATATTTTTTATAAGTAAACTGCTTTTTGTTTTCCTATAATATTTCAAGATGCTCTTTTAGAGTTTTAGGCCATGAAATCTATCGCTTCAATTTAATTAAAACTGCATTTATCGTTCTTTAACAAAAACTAATTATTACGATTTCCAACTGATATCTTTGTAATTTCCAAAATCGGTTCAAATTTTTTTACGAAAAAGTTGACGAAAATTTTTGCGTTATTTTGCTAATTATGAAGAAACTGTTGGTCTGATTGTTGCGCAAAACTTATCAACGTAAGTCCTTCTTGATTTTTGAAATTTATTCATCCGTTTTTGATAAAACGCTGACAATAGATGATTTTTTAGCTCACATACACATACGCACACGATTTACTATACGGTGTCTAACGATTCAAAATGACTTAAAATGACAAGAAAACATAAAATTAGCGGCTCAAATTTTCTGTCCAAAACAAATTTTTTCTTCAGAAGGTCAATTTTCTCAAGTTTTGCTTAGAATAATTATAATTGTCCGTAATATTATCAATAATGTTAATTTTTATTATTATTTTTGATTAATTAATTGGTTTATTTTTATAAAAAGTATTTTAATTTAGTATTTAGTTCAGAATATAACAGGCTTATTGGTTTTATTTTTTCCATATACGTTTTTAAGAATATATGTACTTAAAAGATTCCTGTTATTAGATTCTTAATTATTATTACTTTACAGTATATTAATAACATTTGTCAGGAAATCATACAAGATATGCTTTTTGTAGTGAGCTAAATTCACTACATTTGTACATAGGAGTACATAATTACTACAAATAAATTAATATCTAACAATATATATTTTGGTGTCTTTGGAAAGCCAATTTTCGTATTTTTTTCTTGAAACAATTATAATTGTTCTTGATATCATTAATAATATTTATTTTTATAATTAGGTCTAATTAATTAGAATTTGTTTTTTTTTCAAAAATATTTTAGTTGAGTATCTGATTCAGAATTTATAGGCTTATTGCTTTCATTTATCCCGTATAGCTTTTTAAGAATTTATGTACTCAAAAGATTCCTCTTTTCAGATTCTTAATTATTATTAACTTACAGTATAAAATATATTATTTATAAGATATTATAAATTACAATATTAGATTTGGGGTAATCATAAAAAATATGATGCTTTGCAGTGGGCTATATTTACTACATTTGTATATGAGAGTACATAATTACAACAAATAAATTAATATATAACAATGTATATTTTGGCGTCTTCTAAAAGTCAATGTTTTTATTTTTTTCTTGAAATAATTATATTTGTCTTTGATATCATCAATAATATTAATTTTTTAGGTCTAATGAATTAAAATTTCGTTTTTTCTTCAAAAATATTTTGATTTGGTATCTGGTTCAGAATTTATAGGCTTTATTTTCCATTTAACTTAGATTTTTTATTACTCAATAAATTTAGATTATTTAATAAATAGATAATAGTTATTAGATAAACTTAGATTTCTAATCAATCTAACTTACCGTTTATTAATATTACATTTGTCTTAAAATCTTTAGAAAAATGGAATGATATTTTGTAGTGAACTATATTCACTACATTTTAAGAAAAGTAAATATTTACAACAAATAAATCAATATATAACCAAATTGTATAACATAAAATATGCAATACTAATTTATTTCAATCTTGTAGAATTAAATATTAAAAAATTCAATATACAGTGCTTATTCTTTATTAGTACTATATAAATCACATCCGTGAATATATTAAATTCTAATATTGCTTTGGTTTATATAATTTTTTATCTCGACTTACAACCACCTTCACGATCCTTCCGTTATCTATCCATGTGCATTTACCTAATCGCCGCTCTCAAGTCTTCTTTCCCAACATATCTGTTTGATTGTTATTTCGTTCAGCAGTGCACAAGAGGCGACCGCCTTATCGACAGCTGAACAAGTGTATTCTGCGCTCTGCTCGAACGCAATATTACAATGAAATTAAAGTAATTAAACAAAAGAAATAATACAACGTGTCAAAGTACTTAAAAACGAATTTTAAACATAATTTCACGCTCGGTTGACAAAAACATATTGTGTGTTAAGAAGTGTGTGTTACGTGACAAAGGTTCTATAATAAAAAAAACTTTCATTTCTGAGTTTGGATTGAGTTGGGATTATATGGAGATTTGTTAAAGGATTGATTAAAAGTAAGTTTAATTTATGTTTTTATATATGTTTTGTTAAATGGATTATTGTTTTACGCACAGCTGATATTGTCATTGACGTATCTTTAGTGCAAAGACCTCGTTTGCTCAGCAATGTTGACTTCAAAACCAGTATGGAATCGTTACTTTGATATAATTAGAATAAATGCAGAAGAATATGTTGGTTGATTGATATATTAAACTAGTACGTTGTATAATGAAGATAGATTTTAAACACTTGTTAATGTTGAGAATAGACTTATGATGTCATATTAAAGTACTTATACGATTTGCTTGCTTAAGCCAGTCATTGTCAAAGTGGCCCACATGGGTTTATAACTCCCCAGGAGGGTCCACGTGAGATAATCAAAAATGGGGTTCACGAAATGAAAATATAGGGGTTTACGGCAGTGAATCACTATACACCACGTTATTATCTATTCACTTATGCTATCTATAATAAAAATTTCAAAAAATTTAAAATAAGTTTCCAGACAAAATATTTTTATTCCAGGCAGTCGTTTTTTTGTAAAAACATTTTCTAAACTTGTCTGTATTTGTTTAAATCAGTAATTCCCAAAGTCATTCACATGGGTCCATAACCCCTCCCAGGAATTCATAATCATATTCAGGGGGTCTACGTGAGATAATCAAAAACGGGGTTCACAAAATGAAAATATGGGGGTAGCTATAGTGGATCACTATACAACACGTTATTATCTATTCACTTATGCTATCTATAATAAAAATTTCAAGAAATTTAAAATAAGTTTCCAGACAAAATATTTTTATTCCAGACAGTCGTTTTTTTGTAAAAACATTTTCTAAACGTGTCTGTACTTGTTTAAATCGGTGACTCCTAAAGTGGTTCACATGGGTCTATAGCCCCCTATGGGTCCATAAGAACATTCAGAGAGTCCACGTGAGCGAAAGAAAATTGGGGTTCACGAAATGAATATACAGGGGTCCTTGATAGTGGCTTACAATATACCACATTGTTATCGATTCACTTCTTGCTTATATTACACTATCTATAACACAAATTTCGAAAATATCAAAAAAAGTTGCAAAAAAAATCTTTTTCTTCCAGACAGTCGATTTTTGTGTAAAAACATTTTTTAAAACTTGGATGTATTTGTTTAAATCAGTAAATTTCCAAAGTCATTCACATGGGTCCATAACTCCCCAGGGGTCCATAACCACATTCAGGGGGTCCACGTGAGCTAATCAAAAATGGGGTTCACGAAATGAAAATATAGGGGTCCACCGTAGTGGGTCATAATACACTACGTTGTTATTTATTCACTTATTGTTTATGTTACACTATAATATCAAAAAAAGTTGCAAAAAAATATTGTTCTTACAGTCGATTTTTCTGTGAAAAAACATTTTTTAAACTTGTCTGTATTTGTTTAAATCAGTAAATTTCCAAAGTCATTCACATGGGTCCATAACCCCCCAGGAGTCCATAAGAACATTCTGAGGGTCCATGTGAGCGAAAAAAAATTGGGGTCCACGAAAAGAAAATATAGGGGTCCACGGCAGTGGGTCACCACGTTATTATCTATTTATTGTTTTTATTATACTATTTATAATAAAAATTTCGAGTATTTTAAATAAAGTTTTCAGACAAAATATTTTTCTTCCAGACAGGCGTTTTTTTGTGGGATTTTTTAAACTTGTCTGTATTTGTATTAATCAGTGATTCCTAAAGTAGTGTCCACATGGGTCCATAACCCCCCAGGGGTCCATAAGAACATTCAGGAGGGGGTCCACGAAATGAGCGAAAAAAAAATCGGGGTCCACAAAATATAGGGGTCTACGGTAGTGGATTACAGATATACCACGTTATCATCTATTGTTTTTATTATACTATCTACAATGAAAATTTTAAGAAATTCAAAAAATGTTTCAAAATAAAATATTTTGCTTCCAGGCCGTCGATTTTTTTGTAAAAAAATGTTTCTGTAATTTTGTCCGCAGTTCGTACGATTGCGACATTATCCTAGATCAGTCTTTCTCCAAATGGGCGATTGTAATATCCAGGGGGGCGATAAGAGACCCCTAACAATTTTTTTTAAATGTATACACTCTCACTGGTAAAATTTTCTAATTTAAAATGTAAGGTTATATCAACTAATATAGCACATTATAACTCAATTGTTAAAATTGAAGATTGGAGTTTTTTTTAAATTATATAGGTATAAAAAAATTATCCTAAATTAATAATACATTTTTTTTCGGATTATTTGGAATACTAAAATCATGGTCAGATGCCATTTTTTTATTTTTCATTATTAGAATGATAATATTGATAATTTTTAATTTGGTGCAGTAATGCTGGGGAAGGGCTATTTTAACTTGTGAAGGGTTATATTTCCAAATAAAAACCAATAACATTGCTTGATATCAGACTGGTCGAGGTGGTATCGAACATGGAACCTTCTGGTTGAAAGGCCACAAAGCTATAATCTTAAGGTTTTCATTTGGAAATAAAGCCCTTCATAAGTGAAAATAGCCCTTCCCAGCATTACTGCATCAAATTAACCCTTTCCTCTCGGGAATTCCGAGATTTACATGAATTTTCCGAGTGGAAAGGGTTAAAAATTATCAATATTATCATACTAATAATGAAAAATCAAGCAAATATGCTGCTACTAAAAATTGATTTTTACGTTTATAAACATAATAGTTAATAATATTGAATAATTAGCAACCGAAAATTTTGAATTAAATTTTGGTTATTTTAGTTTAATGCCAAAAACTATGTAATGCACTGTTGTTATCTGGAAGTTTTAAATTAAATGTAGACCATTTAAGATTAATCATCATAAATACAGAACTAAAGAGTTGAAAATTGATAATTAGGAATCAGTATTTTTAAAGCAGCAAATTTAATGGTTTCATTTGCATATAAGTAAATTCCAAAGGTTTTATTTAGACCATTTAAGATTAATCTTTATAAATACAGAACTAAAGAGTTGAAACTTGATAATTAGGAATCAGTATCGTCAAAGCTTAAATAGAACAATAGTTGCTTTTTTATAAATATAAGTAACATAAGTAGACATTCGATTCGATGGTCGCAATATAGTTGAGTTCATTAACTTAAGACTCAATTTGCTGACTATTGAAAGGCTTTAATAGTTGCAAAATAAACAGTTAAATAAATGAAAAAAATAAAACTTTTTTAAAAAAATCACTTTTTGGTACGGAAAGTTCAAGCAATTTGCCTCAAGGTACGATGCCATGCACCACTAGTTTTATGTATTATTTATATATTTATAAATATTGTGTGGCATTTTATTATAGTTATAGTGAAATGATATTAACGTGGTATATTGTAATCCACTATCGTGTACCCCCCATTTTAATTTCCATCGAAATTTTTCTTTGCTGACTTGACCCCCTGAACGTTATCATGGAGCCCCGGAGGAGGTTCACTTTGAGTATAACAGGAATATTTTATGTAGAAGTAGATTTTATTTTTTCAACTCCATTCAATATTACAATTCAGTTTAAATATATTATGTAATTAATTTTTAGACTGACCATGTTGTCGATACAGCCTTGCTCACTTCAATAAAATTGTTATATGATATATCATTCATAATTTAAAGTTTGTTTATATTTTATTTGGTCGAAGGAAGCGAATACAATAGCTGCTAAACTTCTCACGTTTTGTATAGTCGTGTTTATCTTCGCCAAAAACAATATTTACGAGAACATATAGTATTTGAATCGCTACGATAAATTGTTTATATGAAATTCGTAGAATCGATCGATGTTGTGAATATTCACCATATTTTTTACTCTTTTATATGTTTTTTTTTTAACAGCGATTAGAATTTTACCATTGTTTGAGTGATAAATATTCTTAACCACGTTGGACTTTTAGAAGACAACCCAATGGTTCACCTATTTGTGTTTGATATATTTCAATATTAGAATTATTATATTATTGATGACTTCTAGTTTGATTCAGCAATTCCGGGAAAAGGATGTTTTTATTTGAAAATGTATTTCCGCCATTTGTTTTTATTCGATATCACTATTGCTTGATATCAGTTTGTCTGGTGTTAAATAGAACCTGAAACCTTCTGGTTGAAAGCCAAAGCTCTTACTTCTGAGTAACGAAAAAATTTTCGAATAAAAATGTTGTTTTATTTTTTCTATATTAGAAACACTTTTAACGTTTGTTTATATAATTGTTCTTAATATTGAATTATTATTTAGACAAAATTTCATATTTAACTTTGGATATATTAACGCCAGAAGTTATTAAATGCAATTTTGTTATCTGGTAGAACTACGGAAGTTCTAATTTAAATGTGGACCATTTGAGATTAAATATTATATTGCGTTTCATATATTGCATTCACATGCTATTTATTTTTAAATATTTATATATTAAAATATAAAATATTATTAAAATATCTCATATTAAAACATCTCATCTTTCCTTTATTTTTCACGCCTAGATAGCCATTTTGTGGTAATTTGAAAAGTCTAAGCACATTTTCTTGGCTTTCAACTTTAGCAAAATTATTTTTTTAAATACTGGTTTATTGATGAAGCTTTCTCAAATTAAAATAGAATTTTATTATAATTAATTTATTTCAAATGTTTTTAATATTTAATATTTTTAATTAACTGATAACTGTATTTATTTTTTCAAAGTTTATTTGTAACTTGCATATATATTTTTAAAACTAGCTTGCATTTACTCTTGGTAAAAAATTCTGATTAGTATTAATTTCAATTTATCGATTTTTTTAAATTTTTTTATAAATTGCATTCTGTCCAAATAGAAAGACATTGAGTAATTAGTTTGACAAATAACATAGAATTTTAAAAGGAAAACCCAGTGGTTCACCTTTTATTAATGTACTAAATTATATCTTAATTAAATTTTGGTATTAATATCGAATAATTTAAATAATATTATTATCAAGTTTTCAAGGCAATTCAGTAATATATATAGTTGTTGATAAACAAATGTTATAATTAATAATTTTTAGTAGATTAAAAAAAGGTTTATTTTCAATAGTTTCTGAAGAGGTAGGCATCCCTTATTCCCGAAACGTAGAAAATATTCATAAATGTAATATTAAAAAAAATTTTTTTAAGAAAAAAGGGAGTTCCAACTCATAAATGAAAAAATTATAAATAATAGCTTTTAAAGAAAAAAACTTAACTATTACATACATGCACACACACACATATAAATAAATATGTATGTATATATATCTACACATGTATACACATGTATATATATATATATATATATATATGTAAGTATATTGTATATTACATTGTGTGCAGTACGTGTTTGAAAATTTGATATAGATTAATGATGCAGATAACTGATGTGACCTCTTTGTGGGGACCTTTCATACAAATGCTGTTTCAAATTGTAAACACTTTCATTTTCTAATAAACTGTTTTTTATCAGTATTAATAATACCATTAAACATTGTATACAATTTACTCTGACAAGGCATTAAATTGATATGGATATACTAAAACAAGATTATATAGACATAACAATGAGGGTAATTATAACATGAGCTATAATATTGTATCTGCGCCTTATGTTTTTAATAAAAGCGTTGAACTAAGTTAACTTAAAGTTAAATTAAGTTGATCAAATTACAAATACAGTAATACCTCGCTTTACGCGGGGGGGGGGGGGTATGTTCGCAGAGCGTAAAGCGAGCGAATCAGCGCTAAACGGTTCTATTTTAACATGTAAATGTAAATAATCAGGTTAGGAAATTGTAAATTAAATAAAATTATAAAGTTAATTGAATACAAAGTCAATAAAAATACAAAAATAAACAATAAAAAAAAATCAGGTTAGAAAATCGTGGACAAAAAATTGGTTGTGTATAAATTAATAATAACCATCTTTGTTTTTAATAAACTTCAAATTCAGTCAGAGCTTTCGGTGTCTTCTGTTCTCCCAATTTTTTACCATTTTGTCAAAAGGCTAATGATCTAATGTATTTTTTCCGCGTTTTTTTTTACAAATGGTTGATGACTGGGAAACAGTATTTACAGCACCCCATCCTGGTTTTGTTCGAAATTAAATTATTTTTAACAAATTAATTAATTATTTAATAATTTTAGACAAGGGGTCAAAGACCTATTTACGAACTTGATTAAATTGATCATAATCAGTTAATTGTTTCAGATTATTATTAAAAAGAAAAGTGTATTTCCAACTATTTCTCCAATTTTTTTTTTTACTTTTACTTATCACCCAAACTTGTTTTTTTCGTTAATTTTTAAATTGGTTGAAATAAAAAAAACTTATAGTAGTAGCGTTAAACGGGGTCTTTCCGAATCTTCTGCAATCTTCTCTAATAAATGCTTCAATTCAGTATATGATTATGAAAACAATTTAAACCAGCGTTTTCCAACCTGTGGGGTCCCAGGCTGTTCTGAGGCGCGTGCAACTGTTTCCGGAATACTATTTTCGAAAATAACCCAAAATTTTTGAATTCATGTTAAAAAATAAACAAAAAATAGTTAGTTTTTATGCATATTTACATAATATTGCATGTTAATTTGTAGTCTGATAATATCAGTCGAGTATTTATAAAATTAAATTGGGCGCGGTGCAAAAAAGGTTGGAAACCACTGCTTCAACCTATATATGTATATATTATATATCTATAACACATATAAACCTAATTTTTCAAAGTCCTACCGCAAACCCCCGATATTGTAAGAATTATAATAGTAATTACATCATTTTTTTATAAACCATGCCGTGAAATTTTGGGAAAAAGTTAGGTTATATTCCCGGACAGACTTTTGCATATTCTGATTGAAACCAAGTTGTAGGGGTTGGACACCCTGACAACTTTTCTTTTTACAGTCATTTTTTATAATGCTTATATAAAAAACATATAGACATAAATTTTCATTTAACTATCATAAATCATAATCCAATCGGCGTGAAAATTTGGGATAATTGAAAGTAACCTCTATCTGGGAGTTAAATTAAATTGTTAAAGGTGTGTTTGCCACATATGGAGTAAACGGGGACAGATGGATTTTTTGTAGAAAAAATAGCATTAAACAATTTCTTTATATAGGCAATAATTGTGAAATAATCTGAAAATATTTCGATAGTTGGTTGTTTGATATGTGTTATGTTGTTGAGTTTTTACAGTTTAATTACAGTTGATATGCTTAGGCTATATTATATATTAACCCTTTCCATTCGGATGCCGCCGCTCCGGCGTCAAAATACCTTTTTTTCTCGCAATTTGCGAGTGGAAAAAGTTAAATGCTGAATGGGATATTTTACTCGAAAATGCTTTTAATACAGCTCAACAATCAATCACGAATGATACGAGAGCTATTTTCCATCTTGATAACTAGATATAACAGAAACGCATTTTTTTTAAATTTTTATTTATATACATAACACAACAAGGCATGATCGGGTACCGTACCACTAGTAAATATATATAATATATCTACACTATATCTATAACTATACTAATTAAAAAAAATCTATAACTTCCAAAAGTAAGTTAGGACTACCCTGCTTAAGTTTGGACTCACTTGGGAACACTTTTTTCGTCACTTTATTTATCTTTCTCCTCAGACATTTTAATGTACGTATTGATATAGAAAAACATTTTAAGATTATAATATACTTTATTAAAGTTTTGATTGAAAAAAAAAGATTATAATAAAGATTAAAAAATATAATAAAGATTAAATTCTCATTTATTTATTGTACAGAAATATGTTAATTTTCGAAATATTTTGTAAAATGTAATAAGTTCAAGGTTATAAATTATCATTTTGAATTACATTAACTATTTTTGTGAACTCAAATGAACTTTTACTCGATGCATCATCATCATTTAAAAATGCGCGCCAATGACTTCAAATCAAAAGGCCAACATATTGATGAAGAACGGATGGATTTATTTTTTTCGTTTTTTCCACAAAAATTTAAAAATATCACATGTAATTGTTATTAACTCGTAAATTTAATGCAATTTTCAGCGAATCTGTTACCTCAAACTGACTGAGAATGATGAATAAAAAAGACAACGAATTTCTTAAGTGAGTCCAAACTTTTGCAGGGTAGTGTATATTCAAATTCAATAATCGTAGTGGATGAGAGGCCAATTCTCTGATCAAATAGAAATGTTATGGCAACGCTATGTTACGCATATATCCGTATGAATTAGTAGTAAAAACTAAAAAAATGCATTTATGTCAAAATTGTTATTTGATGTTTGTGCATTTTGTAAGTTAGATTTTATGTGTGAAATGTCTAATCGTACAACAAAAACGTAGCTTTTGAACAGTTTTTACTACCAATTTATACGAAGATAAAACCGTAACATAGCGTTTTCATAACATCGCTATTTTATCGGCGAATTGGCCCTTGAATTACATTAAATAAGTTTCCAATCCATTAAGAAATGTTATTGTATCTCCTATGTCTCTCTCCACTATTGCACATTTGAATTCTTCTCAGTCTTTATTTGTTTTCGTGTTGACTTTAATATTCCTCACTTCTCCGTGACTTGGACAGCCGAGACCTCTTCGGCCACTCCGCAAACATTACCGCCTATCGCCACATAAGCGTAACCGTCGTTTCCGAAGCGCGGGCCCCAGGAATTTCTCAATATATAATGAGGTGTCGGCCCGGACAGGTCGTAGCCGACCACCTGAACTGCGTGGTTCAACATCATGGGTCCACCTTCGCAATGGTATTTAATTACACCCCCTGTAAGGAAAAAGATAAGGCTTTGATGTTATTTTATTCATCGAGAGGTTGATAATGGATTTTTGGATGAAGTGCGGATTGGGGAGTAATTGAGATATAATGGAAATAAGGACATATACCACAGAAACTTCTCTGTTGTTGACTGACATGATGTCTGCTTTTTGGCATGGCTCAAGTATTTTTTTTAGTAAGTAAATAATTTTTAAAAGCCATTAGATGGAACTCGATAAGGACTCTTGCATTGATAGTAGATGAGCGCGATGATCTTACCAACCGTTTTTTTGTAAATAGCTAAAAAGCTTAAATTTTCTTTGGCGTTTTAGAAATTCTGAATCGATTTAAAGAGTTTATAAACAGTTCAAAATATATCAGTTGGAGTTCGTGCTATTTAGTTTTAGTTCAGAGTATGATCGGCCAAATCGTTTAATTGTTGAATTTTTTTGACGATTTTGAAGAATTTTTGTGTTCCGATAGAGTTCAGGCTCAATAAGTGCATCTTTAGATGTCATGGTTCTACGAAAAATGGTTTATTTATTAAAATTTATCAAGGATTGGAGTTATGGTGCGTGTCACAATTTCAAAAATCTATCATTACAATTTTAAAATATGTATTCTATATCCCAGTTTTTATTGATAGAGTCGATTATTTATACATACAAGCAATTTTAATTTGTGATCTATATCACAGTTTTAAGACAAAATGCCACTTGCACGTAGTTTCTCTATATTTAGAAAAAATTTAAATTTATAGAAGCATAAATAACAAATCAGAACACAATGTTGGATTTTTTTCCATTCAATTCTGGGTCTGATGTTTTTGTTTAATCTTCAAAATATAAATAAGTTATTTACATATAGATCTAGGTGATCGATCCAATCTTTATTTTTTAACTTCCTCGAAAATGAAAATTTTTATATATCTTTACGTTTCAGAGATTTCTGAACATTTTGGCATACCTTAGAAAAAATGGATGTATGTGTGTGTGCGGATACAAATTTTGGTCGACGATTTCGGGAAAATCGATCAACCGATTTGAATAATTAAAAAAACATTCGATTGGTATTGATAAGCAGGCGTGCTGATTAGTTTTTGGCGAAGGTAGGTCTAGCCGAGGCAAAAAATGCCGAAAACGTTAACTCAGTTTTTAAGAGATTCCGATTTTAATCATTCAAAAAACAATTTACTAGTATTGACAAGATGATCTGTTCAAATTTTTGGGAAGGCAGGTCCAGCGGTTATGGACTCTCAATAAAAATAAGCTGAAAAAATGTCATTTGGCGGTCTAAAATGTTTATTAGACATATGTACCTCAAATTATAAGATATTTTATAGAGATTTAAATAATATGTACAAATTTTGTGTAAATTTTTTTGGGTTCCGTACCAAGATTTTTAATTACGGTACGGGAAGTTTCTGCAATTTGCATTAAGGCATGATGCCATGCACCCCACTAGTTATAATTATACTCATTATTTTTATAATGAGTTGTAGAGTTGTTTTCGACGTAGAAAATTTAATGCTTATTTTAAACTACAACGTTTGTAAAAATCGAACGATTCTTTCTAATAAATATTTGCATTATTTCGTATTTTACAAATTTCGGTATTTTTTATAAAGTCTTAGTGTGTTTTTTATTACTATTATACACACTTTGGGCTAGTTCTTCGAAAATTGAAGCGTTGTTATGGCAACGCTATGTTACGATGCTATCTTAAAATAAAGTAGTAAAAACTCCCAAAAAAGCTATGTACTTGCTGTGCAATCAAGCTTTTTACATAAAAAACCTAACATAAAACACACAAAGGCCAAGCGCGCAAAGTTATCATATGTGCAACTTTCTGATGTGCCTTGATAACACATACGTAAAGTTAGGTTTAATATGTAAAATTCCTGATCGCATAGAAAATATAATACATAGTTTTTTTGACCGCAACTTAGCCTTACCATAACATATCTATTTCATTGAAAATTTGGCCTCTATATTTACATGTAATTTTTCTTTAAATTTTATTTTTTGATAGTAGATATACGAGATATAATATAAAAATTGAGAACGATTTAAATATATTTTTAATTTTCTAATTTACTGGTATGTTATGCTTTATTAAAATATATTCCATCTTTTACTGATTGACTTGCCATGAATGAATCCACTTTATAATTTTTTGCCTGGAATATATTATCGACCAAATCATTCAGTTTTTCATTGAGTAAACGTGAATTTTTTTGCTTCATGCTGAGGTGAAGAATAACAATTGCGCGAAAAAAAGTCAAGAGCCGTTTGTACGTTCATTGAAAGATATTTCTATGTCAGTCATTCATATTTGCACTCTCCGTTTCTATTTACAAGTCAACAATAACCATTCATGTGATATACAGAATTCTTAATCTGTTGTTACAACGATTTTTATCTGATACTTTCTAATTAGGACTTTCCATTATTATTTTTTATAATACAAGTCTGTAATTCATAAATCGCAGTTAAATAGATCTCACTATGCTTGATGTCTAAACTAAGATTTATGGTGTTATAAAAAGTAACTCGATAAAATGAATTTCATTTTTGTGACGTGAAATATTGCATATACGTGCTTAAAGAACGAAAATTGGAAGAAGTGATATATTATGAAAATGTTAGTTTGAAAACTTTCATAATAATGAGAAAAACCTTCATCTCATCTCATACTTGAATCGGTCCTTAGAAGAGAAGTAGTTTCTCTAATAAGACTTGAATTCTAAACTTGAAAAATATGTAATTTTTACTATTAGAATTGTATTTATGTTATGATTTTACGAAATCTTCATTTTTTTGAACTAAAGATTTTTCACTAAACAATTTTGTTTTACCAATACGGGCCAGATATATTGATTAAGAATGAAATATTAATTACTCGGAAATAAAATCTGGATCGAAGTTACTATATTACAAACATGTTGTTTAATTTGGCCAATTTATAGGGTGGAGTGGGTCTTAAAAGTCCATCAGCGATATCTCAAGATAAAGTAAAGGTAAAAAAAATTAACTACAATATTTGAAAGTAGAGGGAAAAAGATGTATGATCAGCCATCATTTTAATTCTTACAACTTTGCTTCCGGGAGATCAACGGCAATGTTTGAAAATTTATAAAAAATGTCTATTTTCTTTCGTTGTTAGTTTTTTTGGTTGTGAGCACTGTTGTTTAGTTTACGAGACCTTAATATAATTTTTAAGTATACGTTATTCAATTGATTTATAATATGTATTGTTAATTTTAAGGTCGATTCAACAGTTTTTTTACATAAAACCTCTATAAAAGCTTACTCGTTTGCGGGGTAAAAAGGACCAACTGATCCTGACAAAGGTTTGAACAATAAAAAATAGCAAATATGAAAATTAATTGGGTTAAAGCAATTTTTCAGAAGATAAATTAAACAAATAGTTAGTCCAAATCGGCTTATGAATACTTCTGACAAAATACCAGATCAAGGTTATGTACAGTGTCAATTCTGTAAACAATGTAGGTACCCATAAAATTTATATTTTGCATTGGTCGAATAATGTAGCTACTATTTCGTAAAATCCCTTTAAAATTAAAGGTAAACAAATGGATCTTTCTGCCGTATGGTCGTTTTATTTAACCCCTCCTACGGGGTAAAAAAGACCAGGTGACAAATTTTTGAAAAAACAGCGAAAAAACACATTTCTACAATGTGTCTGATTATTTTATGAACTAAACAGAAATAACTACAAATGCAAAATTTATGAAGTAGTAAGAGTTGATGAATCATTGTTTATTATGATTAAAAAGACATCTTTAAGTTATGATTTTTAATTTTGTTGATTAAATTAATAATTAAAATGTCTTGCATTGATTGAATAATATAGCTATTATTATAAATGCTATATGTATAATTAAAAACAAAATGGTGGATCTTTTGGCCCCTTGATGTTCCTTTTTGTGCCGCTTGTGGAGTAAAAAGAAACAGCAACATTTTTTAAAAATAATAAAAAAAAAACGTTTTTCCAATGTTGAATTAGCTGGGAGTTTTACTGAACATAGTCAGATAGTTGTTTATTTGATATGTGCTATTTGTTGTGATATAATAATAAATAATAAGTTTGGTATGCACAATATAATTGCCACAAAGTCAAATTGGATCTTTGTGCACCGCTCTACCCTATATTATTTTGGTGTGAGAATTCTTCTTACAGAAGGGTACATTGAATTTGGTTTGGCTTTTCAATGTTGGGTCATCAATTAAGACTAAACTTTAGGAATACGTTAATCAATACCCTATTAGTCGTGAAAATTGTTCTTACCCACATAGTTTTGCCAGCTCATTGCATTTACACCAATTGCCAGTGGACCATGAAGAGCAAGAGCAGCTAACATTTCGTTTTCGTTCCTTGTCATATCATCACATGAGTATTGTGTTACATGAATTCCAGTCCCTGTGCATTCCTTAGTTTTTGCATAATCCTCTTTTGGGAGTACTGATATATAGTCCCCTAGAAAAAAAATTTCAACATTTTTTTATAATAAAAAAGGACGAAATTGGGAAGATAAATCGTGGAAAAGTTGCACGCTTTTTTTTATTAGATTAAATTATTTATAATTATAAAAGAGTCACGAGTTCGAGCCCACGCTCTGCAAGACCTGGTATCGTGCAGTAGCGATATCGATTTTTCACTTGGAAATATAGATTAAAAATATGTTTCCATTTGAAAATAAGCCCATCCCTGGCACTGCGGTGTAAAATAGCAATGGGAAATTTCTCACAATATTATTCCCAAATAGAGTTGGAGTTTAACTCAACTCATGGACCTGCACTAGGGCAGCACTACCCATTATTTTATTATTGTAGGATTTAATCAAGGACGAACAATTCTTCTCTAAATTTGTCATGCTTATATATTGATTTAAAAAAAATCGAAAATGCCTAAAAATTAATATGGTGCAATGTTTTTATTGTGTTCATGAACTTTTGCATCTGTTGTTGTCAATGAAGATTAAAAGTTTTTTAGTTTTTTGTATGTAGGTGTGGTGCAATGCATTTTACAGCATTGTAGAATTATACTGTAATTTAGACCAAGTTCATAAAAACACATCTAATTTTAAGACCTCACAAATGGTATATGCACAAAACTTATTTCATTTTCAATTAGTTCTGTATTTCTATATAAAACTCGCCACTTTACATAAAACCGCATTCAATATGCATTCCTTGTTCTGAAATTGTTTCGTATTCTCGTTTCGTTCATCGCTGTTTGGAATTTTATTTAAAGCACAACAACGCATTGTAAGGCTTTACAATATTGGCAATTAAAATTGTAATATTTGTTCGATTTTATGACTATTTTATGTAGGTACTTTGCTCTATAATACTTCTATATTAACTACATAGTTTCGAAACGCTTGTTCAAAAATTAATAACTGCTGTGGTAGGCGAACAAACAATAAGTAAAGCAATTCCGGTAATATTTAGAATTTTAGTTTGACTTCTGTTTGGTATACAATTAAGGTTTTATTAATATTTTATAGGCTTTTAATTTATCACTTTTTGATGCAAAATATTTCATTTAAAATTAATATTTAAAATTGTCTCGGTAAGATGAACAGTATAAAACAGAAAAGGTTAGGAACTTTAACATACAAAATCGACCCACTCTTGAATGTAAACCATTTAAGTCATTTTATAGGTTTTTTTTTCTAAAAAATAATCATATATACCAATTTTCAATTTATTAATTTATCATTTGGCTGATTTACTAACACATAACTCATTATTGAAAATATTTTTATATTTTATAGGTCGTCAGTACCTACATTATAACGAGCCTCATGTCAATAATTTATCTAATTTATTTAACTCAATAACTATTCACTTTTCCTTATAAAATTGGCTTACCGTTGAATTTTAACAAATTATACGTCATTTTATAGGTCTTTTCGAAAAAATTTCAATACGCCTATTTTCAAGTTACTCATTCTAAATCTTATCGGCCGATTTATTAACTTATCATTGAAAATATTCAATTATTTATTTTATTTATTTTACAAGCCGTCATACAATGATCATAACTCATGTCAATATGTTACAATGTTTCATATTTTTTCAAAAAAAAAGTAAATTTTTGTCAAAAATTTATAGTTTCTCAAAAATCTAATTTTTTGAAAGTAATTTTTTTTCAAAAATGTTAATCTTTTGAAAAAAAATTGGTACGGGAAGATCCAGCAATTTGCCTTAAGGCATGATGCCATGCGCCCCACTAGTTTACTTTATGATTTTATTTATGATTTATTATATCTGAGAAAGTGGTCCGCAGTGTTCCAAACTCAATTCGTTTCGTAACTATAAAACATATCAGTAAAAAATTGTTCGTACTGACAGTGGTCTAGAGACTATATTATCTATAATAGTATTTAACCTATTGTTAAATAATGATTCGTAAGTGTATGAAATAGTTTTTTTATTTTTGCCCACTCAAATCAAGCGTGATAAAAATTTAAAGATGCCAAAATAAATTACTCAAAGAAATTTTAAATGCCCCAAAGACACCGCTCTAAACACGGTAAACGATGAAATACGAACACGTTCAGATAATTACAAAAGACCCCTAGACCCCCCTTAGCACTACAAGGGCAAAATTTGAAAGAAATTCGTATTTATATGTCAATTATCCAAAAATCTGACATCTCAAAAGTACTCAAATCAAACGTGATAAAAATGCAAAGATACCAAAATAAATTACTTAAAGAAATTTTGAATGCCCCAATGTAAGTCCCGAATTTGTTATTACATAAAGGCGCTGACATCAAAACAATAAACGATGAAATACGAGCAAGTTCAGATTGGAGACTATTACAAAATCCCCTTCGAGGATCATCCAAACGAACTTGCCAGAAAACTATGCCACAACACTTCCAGGGCCAGGGATTAAAAAAAGAAATTCATGCTATATTAAAATTTGGCAATTTTCAAAATTTCTGACAATAGTCACAAGATTTGGTATTTTTACTCTTTTTTCCTACCTGTCCATTTCAGGACAGGTGTAAAAATGACTATATAATAAAAAAAAGTCACTGAGGTTGGCTTTTATTAATTTTTCATTAGAATTGCACAAACACCTATAAAATTTTCTTATGGATGCATAAATCTTCTAAAAACTATGGTGCGGCCAATTTGATCTGGAAAGGCCCTCACCTTTTATTATAAAAACTTGTTACACAAAATTTTATTATCTGTATGTAGTTTCTCTTACCCACTAACCAGGACAGTAGTAGACAAGTATCACCTCCTCTACAGCCCAAATTCTGCAACGAGCAATCGATCATTTGCTGCACACTCAGCTCTTTCATTTTGCCAGTTTTGATGGCCAACATACTCTCTATCGTCGCAACGGTGCTGTGCGCCCAACAAGCCCCGCAACGACCCTGATCGCGGACTCCGGTAACGACGCCTTTTTCTCGCCAATCGACTCGCAGCGGGAGAGCATATTGCTGCGGTTTCCCTAATAGTTTTTTCTGCTTTCGTTTAACCTCGGAAAATAATTGTGATAATTGTAACCTGGAATATTGATAGTAGTTAACTTATTTTGAACGGAAGATGATGGAATAATAACTCTTTGAGAAAAAGTATTTGAAAGTATGATGGAAAAGCAATATTTGCCATTAACACATTTTTTCTTGTATGAACATCATAAATATCATATACATCATATACAGTAGATTATCCTGCCCTCAGTTATTCGGATTCGCGATTATCCGAACTACCAACCGCGACAAATTTATATGTATGTATGTACATACCTACAATTCGAATTTTTACATGATTAATGGTACAGTTTAGTATGTTTTTTATTATTATTAATTAATAAATAGCAATCCAAATTACATAAAATTTTATAAGCTATTCTGCTATGGTTTAATGTCTTTTAGTATATGTATGTAATGAATTCCAAGAAAATATAAATGTGCATACATAAGAAAGTGTTAATTTTTTAATAAACATTAAATTTCATTGATATCTATGTATGTATTTGTTATTTTTAATAAATACACATTATTCTTCATACAGCCTGTTGTCAGGCAGCAGTGACAACGATTTTCACTTGGAAATATAGATAACAATATATTTCCAAGTGAAAATAGCCCTTGCCCGGCATTGCTGCACCAATAAAAAGTCAGCTCTTTTAGATTAATTCTGATAACAAAAATCATCAAATATGGATGGATTAACCATTGGGTTACCATCTAAAAAAATACGAAGAAAGGAGAAGTTTCAGCCCAACAGCTCATAGAGTAAAAAAAAAATTTTTACATTCGATTATCGGCATTTTCGATTATCTGAATTTCTATCCAATAATTAGTCTGGTTTATCGAGTTTCTACTGTATACGACATAGATTTTTCATTCTTTGAAAAATTGCATTAGATTAAAAACACTGTAGTACTCCCCCCCCAACCCGACATATATGTTTTGGGTTAACTCGTTCCATAACCATGCTCGTATGTCGAATCGCTCGTATCTCGAGGCATTTTTTATATACATAAATACATTGAAATGTGTCATTAATTAGTACCAGCACTGTGGTTTTCGTTAAGTTTTTCGAGTACTAAGAATAAATTTACTATTTATTAATTCAACTAATTATTAATGTTTCTTTAAACAACTCCCATTCTCGAACTCTTGCAAATTTTTTGGTGTATTATTCACTGAGAAAAATGAATTGAAAGTATGATGTAAAAGCAATAATTGCAATTAATAATACATTTTTGCTTCTCTGTCTTATATACATTAAATGAATGAGTTTAATTCGTTTCACGCTCGTATCTCGAATCATTTTTTTATTTTTCATATAAATACGTTAAAATACCGTTAATTCGTTCTAGCACTGTGTTTTCTTCAATACTAAAAATAAATTTAAAACTATTTATTATTTTGATCATTATTTTTCATTACATAACATGAATGGACAGAAATGACATGTTCCATTACAACTCCCATTCTCGAACTGTCTAAATTTTTTTGGAGTATTATCCACAAACTTTTAGAGTTTAGAAAGCTGTTCAGAAATTATTATAAGACCTTTGTTATACCCTTTATCACTTGTTTTTTAACATATATTATTTATGATGTGTTTACACGGTACTATACTTCCTAGATATCCTCATATTTTTCAATAATCACTCTTAATTCAAGAAAAATGGCGTTTTTTTTGGACCCATGGTTATAACAGTAAATAATATTTTAAAAATGTAAGAACACTACATATAACTGTACAATCACTATTAATTCATAGTTAAAATTGCAAACGTTATATCCTTGATTCATTTGCGTGATAAATGCGTTACTAACAATTAATATTAATATATAATTAGAATGGCTAATTCTAAAATAATTTACTATCTCAAAAAAGCCAAAATATTTCTATGGTAAGTAAATCATAGTTACAACTGACGACATTTTTCCTATTTTCATTTTGCCATTAACATTTTTCTGGAAAACTCTTATTCGCTCAGAGTTCGTATCTCTAATTTTGCTCGTATGTCGAAGCAACAAATCGCTCCTTTAGCAGCTCGTATCTCAAAACACTTTCATGTCGCGAAACCCGTAAGTTGGGGCACCACTGTTATTATAAGCTCGAGTATATACAGACTGAGGCTGCTTCGGAAATTACAACGCCAAATTATTTCCGATAAGATAGAAATTTTAATTGATGTACTACTTCTTCAAACTTAAAATGACTACCACTGCGTAGTATTTTAAAATTTTATATCTACAAATTTATTACCAAAGTTACTGCATGCCTTACCAGGCAGATTGTAATAAATAACATATGTGAAAATAAATTTTAAAAAACTGATACTACTTTAATCTAGAAGACGATCCTTACTTACTTGGTTGAAATTACAAATAGTGTTCCGCACTAATTAATTACAACATATTAAAGTGTAAATTAATTTCTAAAGAATTAATTTCCATCTTCGAAATAGTTTCAAGCTTTTACGACTCACATTCCTTTACTTACCTTAGTTTATTATTTTTCTGTAGAAGAACGTTTTGGTATTCTCGCCTCGTCAAATCTGAATATTCGGTGACGCCATAAATCGCCGAGTTGTCGTCGACTCTTTTGGCATTCATTTGGCCAATCTCCCGAAGAGACTTCTTGAATATTTCAAAACGAATTGCGTACTCAGTAGAGTTGTCCTTGTAGGATCTGAATTTAAAACATTCATGCATATTCAATTATTCAATTCAATTATTATTGCACCACTCTATTTTATGACCTCTATGCATTAGAAAATATTATTTAAATTGCAACTAAGCATTTTGAAATTAAACTTTTTCAATTGAATCAAAATAATCAAACTAGTGGTGTATCGTGCCTTAAGGCAAATTGCTAGAACTTCCCGTACCAAAAATTAAATTTTTTGAAAAAGATTTTTTTTTTTTGTAAACTTTTAAAAAATTAAATTTTTGACAAATTTTCAGTAAACAACGTTACAGAACCCATAGAAACATAAAGAAAATTGATACACATTATTAAAATCTCCATAAAATATCGGATAATTTGATGTGATATGTCTAATGATCATTTGTAACCGCTAAATGGCATTTTTTTTACTTTTTTTACTAGATCTCCGAAATCGCTAGACCTGCCTTCATGAAAATTTGATCAATTCTTCATCTTATCAATACAAGTAAAATATTTTCTAAATTATTAAAATCGGACGCTCCGTTCTCTTAAAAACTGATTTACCGTTTTTGGCACTTTATCTCCCGTATCCTTGGAACGGGTAGACCTGCCTTTGTCAAAAACTAATAAGCAATCACGTCTCCTCATCAATACGAATCGAATGTTTTTTGAATTTATCAAATCTGTTGATCGATGTTCCCGAAATTGTCGACGAAAAATTTGTATCCGTACACGCGCACACACACACATCCATTTTTTCTAAGGTATGCCAAAATATTCAGAAACCTTTGAAACGTAAAAACATATAAGAATTTTTCATTTTCAATTTTTCAATTTACTAAATTTCAATTTTAGTAAATTTCAATTTACTAAAACTTGCCCTACTGAAGTTAACAATTACCAATTTAATTGTGTGCAATCTTTCCTTTAGTTCTAAAATTAAAAATTTCGGTAATAAAATGGTGTGAATAAAATTTTCATAAGCATTTTTTTATTGATCGAAGTAGAACCAAGGTGTAAGAGTTATTTACTAAATTTTAATTGTATTTATGCAAAATATTTTTTCAGTTTTCATTGATTTTTTTTATCCCTTTATTCCATTTTATGTCATTATATTCCTTTTTAAGTTTTACTATTTATATACCAATATGTTAAATTTTATGCCATTTTTTTATATTACATAGCTTTTTTCTGTTTAATTTCAGTCCAATTTATTTAATTTTATTCCACTATTTTCTATGTTTATTGTATGCATTACTATGCCATTTTCTATAATTCTATTCCATTTTATGCCGTTATATTTCTTTTTTTTAGCCAATATGTTTAGTTCTTTGTTATTCTATTTTAAATCAATATGTTTAATTTTATGCCATGTTCTTTTATTTTATAGTGTTTTCTTCAATTTTATTCCAATTGTCATCCTGAGTTTAAATATCACCAGTTTAAATATTGTTGTGATATCATATCAAATGCTTAATATTGAACAATGATTTTATAATTTTAATCTTTCAATTCTCATTGAATATTAATCATTTTTATTTGTTTATCTTTTATCTAGTTGCAATCAGTTTTCCTATATAATTAAAAAATATAATCATTTTAACGATAAAAATTCAATATACGGTATTAGTTTCTTTTTGTTTCTGAATATAACTATATAAGATAGTGCTATCATGCATCTCATATAAATTACTAGTCCTCTACTTGCCTGTTCATTAAAGATGCTAACGATTTACTGATTTTATAATTAATGATTATATAATTTAATACAAAGTATACAAACAACTACTCGTATAAATTCTATTTTGATATGGAGACATAATTAAAATTCCCAAAAAATTCTGTCAGACCTTGAGCTTTGAATTGTCTAGACCTCATGAATTTTAATGCTTTGCCTAATATTGCTATGGATGGATGAATTGATGCTGAAGATATTATGAATTTATTACTTTATTTATATCAGAATTTGAATAAAACAAAGTAAACTCATTTTATATAGAGTTAAAAACACAACAAGGTTGATGTATATATTAAACAAAAAAATAATAATTTATACTTAATTCATTCTTCATTAGTGTATTAATAGACGAGTTCTATATTCATTATGACGGCTCTTTCTAATGAAAAATTCAACTATTTGCTGTAAATATTTTTAAGAAGATAGTTAGATATGTTCATTCTGATGAGCTAGTTTATCATTTATTTCGAATCCAGAGCTTTAAGCTCATGATTTTGACTGACGTTTAAAACTAGTATTTGGCTTAAATTGTGCCTATACAATTCATTGGTATGCTTTTTTTAATACGTGAAATTTTGTATTTAATATTGAATACGTTCGTTATTTCAATAACGTATCAATTGACTTATTGCAATTAATATTAATATATCGATTAAAAGGCCATATGTTTTGATGTTTAACGTTTTATGAATTTTGCTCCAACAATTTGCAATTAAGTTCCAGTTTAAATTTTAATGTTGAGGAAAGATTATTGGATAATTTCTCTATATCATTGCATATTTTTTACAGAAATGTAAAGTCAAAAATTGTTTTTCATGAAATGTGAATAAATTCGAACACACATCATTAAGATGTTATTGATGAAAAAAACTTCTCATTGTCAGATTACTACTTAAAATTTACTTTAATTAAATAATTACTACAAATAATTCTCATTGATTCAAAAAAGTTGTGTAAGTAAGTTATTATGATATAAAATCAATTGTGATGCTTTACATTAAATAATTAAAAAAAAGATCATACCATATTTTCAATCTTGACAATCCTGCTTATGAATAAATAAATAAACAGATCATTATTATTATAATAAATACACTAGAAAAAATGACCCAGAAAAAAACTAGATGTGCAATATAATTGTGTGATCTGACGAGTTCGTTATAGCACTATTTTTGCTATAGCGGATTTGAAATTCATAATTTTTTTATGATTTCTAATTTCCCGTATGGTAAGTTATAGTAATCGCAAAAAAATCGAAAATGAGAATTTTTATAGATCTTTACGTTTCAGAGGTTTCTGAACATTTTGGCATACCTTAGAAAAAATGGGGATATGTGTGTGTGTGCGTGTGGATACAAATTTTCGTCGACGATTTTGGGAACACCGAACAACCGATTTGATAAACATTTGATTCGTATTGATAAAGAAACGTGCTGATTACTTTTTGGCAAAGGCAGGTCTAGCCATTCCGAGGATACGGGGCAAAAAGTGCCAGAAACGATAACTCAGTTTTTGAGAGAACGGTCCGATTTCAATAAGTTAAAAAACATTTTACTTGTATTATCAAGAGCTCACTAAATTTTTAGGAAGGCAGGTGAAGCGGTTTCGGAGATCTAGTAAAAAAAGTAAAAAAAATGCCATTTGGCGGTAAAAAATGATCATTAGACTTATGCACATAAAATTATCAGATCTTTTATAGAGATTTTGTTTACATTTCTATGGGTTCCATAACATTGTTTGTCTGTTAGACGGCGACGCGGCGCTTACGCGCTTTGATATTGCTTTCTTATGCAGCTAAAGCACTAAATTTTCAAAATAAAAAATAGTTTTTTTTCAAAAAAGCCAATTCTTATAAAAATTTCAAATTTCTCAAAAATCTAATTTTTCCATGGTTATAAAAATAGTTTAGTCTTTTTTGAAAAAAAAATAATTTTTGGTACGGGAAGTTCCAGCAGTTTGCCTCAAGGCACGATGCCATACACCACTAGTTTTTTATTTTAATTACATTGTTACAAAGTCAAAATTACTTGAATATACTAAATTTCACTTTTTATACTAATGTCCCTTCTTTCCACAACGTAAGACCAGCCCGTTAAGTGGTTAACCATTCTAAATTACAATTCTATTCACGTTACCTGTTATGTCTCTGCACGAATTCTTGAAACACATTGTCTTCGTATTCAACAGGACGTTCGATTCGAATGGGTATTGCAAAAAAGCACAATAACACAATGATTATTAACTCGACAATGGTCCAAATTTTAGCCATTTGGCAATATGGCAATCACACTGACACTGCACTCTCGGTTATCCATCTTTGCTACAGCAGAAACAGTGTTGTCGATCAGTCATCGTGTTTACTTGCACGCTCCGAACATGTGTCTTATCTTCGAATATAATATACTATCAGGACAGTGCAGTGCAGTGCACGGTAATAAATTTATTTCCTTCATTTATTTGGTTTATATAATACTATAATTTATTTTACAATATTTCCATTCGCGAATTGAAGGATTAATATGTACTTCGCCGCTGGAGCGGGGGCATCATAAACTCCTTAAAGGCATAAGGACCAGCATATTGTCTTGAAAAATAATGTATATTTTAATCGGCAATAAATAGGTATATGCAGAAATATTGATGATATGATGAATGAATGAAATGATGGGTCACACCACAGTCTCGAAACGTTTGCAACTTCATTAATATTATTTAATGAATAGTGCAAAAAACGTTTTTTTTTCATATTTCCAAAATGATATTCTTTCCTTTTATAATACTTCAAGTTTAAGTTTCAAATTGCAACTTCTCCAATTATAAATCTTTAAATATTTGGATAATTCAAACATTTCTATTGTACTTGTAACTTCTATATTATACATTTTTTATGTATTTATAATTTAAAAAAAACTAGTGATGCATGATGTCTCAAGGCAAATTGCTGGAACTTTCCGTACCGGAAATTTGAGTTATCTAACTCATAGAAATGTAAACAAAATTAGTTTTTATGAAAATGCCTATAAAAAATCCGTTAATTTGATGTGCATTTGTTAATTTTTTATCGCCAAATAGAATTTTTTTAATTTTTGTATTGTCTTTGTCTTTTATCTTTTTTTATTTTTATAAACTTCTCTAATTCTAACTTCTTTAATTATTAGATAATTCAGACATTTCGACTCGATAAATTAGATAAATCCAATAAATTACAAAAATTATAATTATACTTCGATAATTGTATCTCAAGAATTTTTTCCATTTTTTATATATATTCTTTAAAGATACATACAACTACAAACTAATAATCACAAATCAATACAAAAATGTTGAAAAGTGTTAATTTACAACATAATAACTAACTTTTACGCTAACTTTGATAAGTCATAGTCATATTGTTGAAAACTTCTATTAACTTCTTATTTATAATTAATCATATCACGACTTATTACACATATAATATACTAATAATAATAAATAAGATGTGTATTTATGCTAACTATATTTTAGTATGAAAAAGTAGATAAACTATTATATAGATATTATTAAATTTTTACGTCGTCTTTTTTAAAATAATTATTATAATTATAAATAGCATTGTTGACTAATATGTATGGTGATACAAAGATTTGATCAGGAGGCTTAAAACTTTTAATTAGATCTGTTTTTAGAGTTTCGTAGTATATTCGTTTTTTGGCAATATTCTTTGGATTTAAGTTTAATTGACAAATTGATCAAAATTGTCTTCAGTACTCTGAAAATGCTCTGAAATTTTAAATCATTTTTATATTTCTTACCAGTTGAATTCAGACCATATTTCTGAATATATACCAAGTTTCAGCTAGTGTTTAAAAAAAATAGAAACTTATCAGTGAAACAATCACGAATGAGTGAAATATATTCATATTTTAACTATGAAACCTATGTTTCTATTTTTTGTCTTACCGTTAGTAAAAGTAAATTAATACATATTAGGAAGTAATCATTTGTAGTACTTGTCTCATAGAATAGATATGTATTGTTTTCCTCTGCAGGTTGTTTTTATATCCTTGAATTTTAACTATTTATTTTTCAATATATTGTCGTATTTCTTAATTGCTTTGTTGGTATCATTTTAATTTATTCATTTTTAACCTACTATTTAATATCTTTTATTACAAGTTGTTAATGACAAATTATTAAATCATTAACATAAATATGTAACTAGCTTAATCTCTAAATTTTTCATATTAATGAAGTGTTTCATGAAGTCAATATTCCAGTTTAGTTCGCACAGGAGATAATTATAGAGTCTGATAATAACATGATATCTAATCATTCGGTTTGAAATTTAATATCACGTTTATAGTTTCTTAACTTGTTCTTGAGAACTTATTTGTAATACAAGATGATATTATTAAATTCGAACTTCGAAATTTAAAACCTGTCGTTGAGATTATTTAATTAAAAAGATAGAGATTTATTTTAAAATAAGTAATTAGAGTAGTAGAACTAGAACCCCGGTTATATGATCTTTATTGACTCGATTTCTCGCAGTTCCTGCACTTTGAAACATTTTATTCCTATCCCGCCATAATACGCATAATACGTTTTATGTCACGTCTAAAAAAATCGTTTTGACGGGATTTTACTGTATATAAAACCAAGTTGTATGGTTTTGTTAGAAATTATTTTTGCGATTTCAATAAAAATAATTATATATCTTTAGTAGAATTCTTTTTTTTTAACTTCCCGTAGGGTAAGTTATAGTAATCGCAAAAAAATCTAAAATGAAAATGTTTATATATCTTTACGTTTCAAATGTTTCTGAATATTTTGGCATACCTTAGAAAAAATGGATGTATGTGCGTGTCTGTATGTGTGTGTGTGTGCGGATACAAATTTTCGTCGATGATTTTGGGAACACCGATCAATTGGAATAATTAAAAAAACATTCGATTTGTATTGATAAGAAGACGTGCTGATTAGTTTCTGTCGAAGGGAGGTCTAGCCGTTCCGAAGATACGGGGCAAAAAGTGCTAAAAAAGTGGTAACTCGGTTTTCAAGAGAATGGAGCGTCCGATTTTAATAATTCAAAAAACATTTTACTTGTATTGACAAGATGAAGAACTGATTAAATTTTTAAAAAGGCAGGTCCAGCGGTTATGAAATCTCAATAAAAATAAGTTAAAAAAATGTCATTTGGCGGTCAAAAATGTTTATTGGACATATATACATCAAATTATCAGATCTTTTATAGAGACTTTAATAATGTGTACACATTTTGTGTAAATTTTTTTGGGTTCCGTACCAAGATTTTTAATTACGGTACGGGAAGTTTTAGCAATTTGCCTTAAGGCACGATGCCATGCACCCCACTAGTTTCATTTTTGATATGGAATATTTAGTAAAATAATTTACCTATATAATATATTCTAATAAATTCTTGCTGTCTCACTTTTGCCTTAAGAATTTCTAACTGAACATAAAATACTAATTTTTTAAATTATATTATCGTCTAAAATCATTTAAAACTTGGTCTTCTCATACCGAAGCGTTCGTTCAAGCAACAATTTCGATCAATAAAACTGCTATGCAGATAAGTTTTCTTGTTAGCTCGGTTCAGTACATGTTGCTCTAACAAAGTACAACAGAGTATGCTTACATTAAAAGTTATTAAAGTAAAAACATGTTTATTTAAATTATGAAGTCTGGCTGAGACATGATGAAAATTGATGATCGACTGCTGACGGCAAACGGCAAACAAGTGTGAACGTTCTCAAATTACAAACATCCTTAATAGGTTTAATGTGTGAGAAGAACCTGATGAGATTATTATTTATATCATGTTGTTGAGTTTGAAGTATCACATTTCTTTGGTAAAATAATATGTTAACCGATATTAACACTAGTTACGGAATATCCATCATTCAAACCCATCAATATAAAAATCCTATTTTTTAATAGTCTGATTTTGGTCTTTTCTACATATATTATATTTTGTCTTGATAATTGGATAAAATTGGATTTTTATCTAAAATTGAAGTATTTTTCTGATTATATAAAATAGTGTCATCACTAAAAGCTCTTTATTAGCTTCTCGAAGAAGTTTAGTTATGATAAAAAAATTCGTTTATTAGCTTAGCATTAATTAGTATTGAATACTAATAATATTACTATCATTGTAAAATTACTACAGAAAATTCTCGAGTTGTTTTTCAAAATGCTAGTAGCATCATAATTTTTGAAAATCAGTTCCAGATTGAGAAGCTTTCAAAATATTAAACTATAGGATTCAGAATTACTTGAAACGTCAAGAAAACATAAAGTTAGTAGCTAACCTCAGGAAATAATAATAAATCAAATCTTACGACATCGCAGTTGGAAAACCGGCAATGTATGAAAATCTATAACAAAAGTATTTTTTTTCGATGTCATTTTTTTGGTTGTGAGCACTTTTGTTCAGTTTACGAGACCTTAATATAATTTTTAAGTGTATGTTATATCATTCTTTTTTTAAGATGTTAATTCTGTGTTAGATTCAACCGTTTTTATATAACCTTTATAAAAGCTTACCTAGATGGTGTAAAAGGGACCAACTGGACCTTGGCAAACGTGTAAAAAAATACAAGAGATAAATTGAATAAAAATTAATTATTCCAACGCTGCTAATGAATATTTCTAACGAAATGCCAGATCAAGGTTGTTCACAGTGTTATTTCTGTAAAAAATGCACCCATGAAATTTGTATTTAGCATTAGTTGAATCATGTAACTATTTTTTTGTAAAATCGATTTCAAATTAAAACCTAGTGGTGTGTATGGCATCGTGCCTTAAGGCAAATTACTGGAACTTCCCGTACCGTAATTAAAAATCTTGGTACGGAAACCAAAAAAAATTACACAAAATGTGTACACATTATTAAAATCTTTATAAAATATGTTACTGTTTTAGGCACTTTTTGTTCCGCATCTTCGGAATGGCTAGACCTGCCCTCGCCAAAAACTAATCAGCACGTCTCATTATCAATACGAATCGAATGTTTTTTGAATTATTCAAATCGGTTGATCGTTGTTCTCACACACATACGTCCATTTTTTCTAACGTATGCCAAAATGTTCAAAAACCTTTGAAACGTAAAGATTATAAAAATTTTCTTTTTCGATTTTTTGCGATTACTATAACTTACCGTACAGGAATTTAATAAGTCATTGGACTTGTTTGACTCGCTTATGGTAAAAAGGACCAGGTAAGAAATTTTTATAAAATTGCAAATAATGATGAAGTAGCTGTGACGTTTACTGATCATAGTCATATAATTGTTCATTTG